GACTTGTAACGCTTGCTAATTAAGCTCCATGAGCCAATGAACTAATCGCCAAATAGATGCTGAGTTGAATAAAAACTCAGAAACTCGTAACAATAGATAAATAAAAACTCAAGTTGTTGATAAATTGAAGCAATTATAACCTCATATAAACGAAACGCAAGCCAAGTTTGTATGCACGTTGACATCTAATTCATTTGGTTATGTTATGTCTTGTTTACATCAGTTTTATAGAAACGGTCAATAATTCACAACATGAGCTTAAAAATAAGATACTAATACATTGGGGTTATTAAAAGGTTAAACTGGTAGAATTTTACCAACGGAATGCTCATAAAGAAAAAGTGACCAGACACTATAAAGGTTTGTGGAAGTTAATGTAAAACAATTATAAGTTGTTATAAACTACCTCCAGCAAGACATCTGGTATAGGTTATGAGTTCTAGGGAAATATGATTTAATTGTCGCATTCAAGTTTGAAAGGAATCTTCCTATATACGTGCTACAAATGTCGTGCTGAAAAAAGAAGAGAATAGTTGGGTAGCAGCAGGGCAAATGACCACAAGTGTTTGAAAATGTCTGATTGTTTGAAATAGATTGAGTCGAAGTATATTTGACCAATAAGTTCGACCTAAACTAGAAGTATATACATGCGTGAACGTGTGAGAAAATCTTTTATAGCGATAAATAAATCCCAAAATCAATAGCTCTGTAAGTCTTCGACATTGGTTGCTGGTCACATTAGTTTCAATGGACTCACCTAGCTGAAGGCACTCGGTCATGCATCCGCATCAGATCACGAGTGGGAACGACATGCTCGACATCCCCCGCAATCGCTAGCCAGTCTAGATCACTCGATCCTCAATGCATTGATAACCTATCAAATATATCTTCGAACCTCCGAGCTTCTTACTTTTGATTTCACTGGGTGGGTACGGCTTATATTAGGTGTTACTGGTTAAAGCGTTGTCAAACTCCAAATACCTGTAGCATCTTTAAGTTCCATGTCGGTTTTTCCCTATAACGATTCCCTTGTTCTCCTGTATGTTGCCTCTTTTGTAGTTATTTATATTTACACGCATTTTTTATCTTTTGGTTTGTCACCATCTGTCACCATACAATTTAAAATGTATAAGTTCTGGTAAACTCTGATGTCATTTAGGTTGTTGACTAATATTTCATTTCGTATTTTGGTTCCTCTAGACACTCATGATTATTTTCCGTACTCTTGATTATTCTAGTCCGGTTTAATTGCCTGAATCTATCTCTGGGAAAATACATGATTCCCTAATGGTCAGTAAAGCTTATTTTTTCGGGTTGTAAACAAATCACTTTGAAACGATTTGATGATTGATATCCTCGTTTTTTGGAAAAATAACACTACTCCTGGGTTTTCGAAGATCTGATATCTTATTCACCAACCGTTCCGTGATAAACTTTGTTACTTTTGTTGTGACTGGTACCGTACTTTCTGAAGAAGCATTGTACAGACATATTATGTTTAATTTGAAATTATATTTACTTATTCAGTACCACTGGTCTATACTGTTCTGATAAGCTTTCCAGGTGACTGTACGAATTTCATTGTCAATTGTAGATTTTTGAGCACCTAATTCGCTTACTTTTTTTAAACTTTACAAAAATGGTCAGAAGTTGTGAGAACTAGGACGGTGGAGCTTTCTAATTTCTTCTATGTAAACAAACCTACAAGCCAAAATGCCAGTAATCTACATGGACGATTGACCTACTGAGGTTGAAAGACAATAGTGTGACCTCCATGCTTACGTCAAAATCCTACATAGCGTTTAGTATCGATCGTTATAGCCGGAGGTATATACTTCGTTGATGGCCAGGTGGAGCGATTAATATTACCGCTTGAAAAACGTATCATTAAAAAAACAGATTGGAGAAATATGGACGAGAATCACTGCTGCATCAGCTTGACAATGTCGCACAATCGACTACACCCCCATAGGTCGGTCTTGATCATGGCGGTATTTGACAAACTGTTCAATGTTTTCATCTAACATAGAAAATTTTCAGCTTGCAGGATGATTTACCTAGGGCTGACTAGGGTTTCTTCGGCCCGACAAAAGGAAGCAGTTGGACTTTCTTCTAATGCCTTACGAATGTCCACTTGATTAGGTAGGTTAAACGGAAAGCGCCAAAATAATGAGTCGTAGTGATTGGTCAAGGAATGAATTTCTTCAGTAAGGGATAAGACTTAAATCACTTGAAGGCTATGGTTGTTAAGGGACAAACGTAGTCATAGACCTTTTTACAGTTATGCCTTGTTTTGGTTCACTACGAAACTTCCTTCCGCGCTAGTCGCATTTACTATTTTGTGGGAGACTTTTTGTTAAGGATGAGTAGTTGTCTGTACCGGATACAGGACACCACGCTTCACGGTGTTCAAAGATAACTAAGAGAACGTATTTTGATCATCCAACAATGATGCCATTTTATTTACATTGTCTATTTTTTCTTTGCAGATCTAAAAGTCCTGATAGATTTTTTGAGGATAGACCATAGATTTTATTTTAACGCCAAGCGTTAACACACCCCAATACCTTTTAATAGTTAATAACGTAAGTTCTTTTACCTCTCTGAATTAAATAATGTAGAATGATAAGAGGCTTATCAAGACCTATATTTCGTACACATAGAAAAGCTAGGAGAGCCAGGAGAACAGACTGCAGTGGATTCAAAACAGGCAGAAAGTGTATATGTAATCAATTCACATAGGAAACAAACTCCAGTTCGCTTTTTGGATATCTGAGTAAACATTTAAACGTAGATAATAAGAGACCACATAGAATTCAAGGGAATCAAAGTCAGGTAGAATGACTCCGCTCCCATTAAATTCAACAGAACGTTTAAGAGCGAAGCGGTAAATCAATCCCATAAAATGCTTTGTAATTATTAGAAATTGTATTGAACCAACTCACAGGAAGTTCGTAGACCAAGATACAATTGTTTAAGTCTTGACTTGGCTTCCTCAACCAAGTAGTAAACGGCTGAAACACTCTAACACACCTGTGTATATTGTTGACATTTTTAGGATGTTATTTCTCTGTAATATTGCAATAACCAAATATTGATAGGTAGCACCTAGTTTTCGAACGCTTCAACTTCAACATAACACACGTACGTCTTTCCGAAGTGGACCTGAGTGCTGACCTGGTTCTCCGTAAACTGCAGCGCCTGAGAAAAGACACTTCTCCCAGTCCGGATATGGTTGATTCTGCTGTATTGATGGAAGCAGCTTCAATCATTGCATCACCACTTAGCGTGATGTTTTCACACTCGCTAAGCCGAGGCAAACTACCGGAAATATGGACGTCATTTGCCTGGATTTCTCAAAAGCTTGTGATAGGGCCAACCATGTATGTCTTATCAAGAAGCTTAGACGATTGGGTATCAAACCCCCTTTGATCGACTGGCTCACTTCATATTTAGAAAACCGACATTTTAAGGTCAGGGTTAACTTCATTCTCTCTAAGACTATGGAATGTCCTAATGGGGTTCCCCAGGGCTCAATACTAGAAACTCTTCTTTTCTTGATTTACATTAACGACCTTCTCCAACAAGTTTCATCTGACTTATTGCTTTTTGATGATGATGTGAAACTTTGTAGAGAGAGATACGTAACCATAAGGATATACTAGCACTTCAGGAGGATCTGACTCGACTTCAAAGTTGGGCAGACGACAACGGACTTACCTTCAACACTTCAAAGTGTAAAGTAGTCCATTTGAGACATGTTGTAGACTATAGTTACAACTTAGGTAACTCCTCTCTAAAAGTATCACGATTCGAAAAAGATTTAGGAGTGTTGGTACCCTACGACTTGAAGTCGTATGCGAACTGTGACAAAAACGCCTTTCAAGCAAACCTTGCACTGGTAACATTGAAGCGCATTTTTGGCCAGTTTGACGGTAGAACCTTCCACATAATCTTCAACAGTCTTATTCGCCCCCATTTAGAGTACGGAAACAAAGCATTTCCTCCCTTCCTACAAAAGGATAAGGACACTCTGGAACGTATACAACGGTGAACCACGAAATCAGTTCGGGGACTCAAATTCAAACCTTATGAAGAGCGCCTCAACTCACTTAACCTTTACCCGTTAGAGTATAGGCGTCTTAGAGGTGACCTTCTTATGACTTACAGTATCCTTAATACTTCCGGTCATCCCCTTGTACATCTTCTTAAGCTTAGTCACAACACTAACTTAAGAAGTAACACCCGGAAACTGGAGACCCAACATAGCAGAACAGACTGCAGACACAATTTGTACTCCGTAAGAGTTGCCAAATGCTGGAATTCGCTGCCGACTGAGCTAGTCCAAGCTACTTCCCAAGAGTCCTGTAAGAGAAAACCTGACTTATTCTCAAGGAGTAAGGATAACATATTATTTTGATTTACCGAATTCTCTTTTTTTCCTCTATTATCGCTCATACACCTGGGTTTTTGCCTGGAGGTATTGGTGATCCACTGCTATCAGACACGGAAGCCCGTTCTGCAAAAGCTTCTTATATTCCGTCCTCAACCATTTGAACCATTTGAACTGCTACTTCTAAACAAATGTCAAGTATTGTATTTTGTCGCAGTGACCGGTCATCTAAGTAGCCTTTCACTTGACAAGTTTTCCCAATGATTCATAAAAGAGCAATGCTCTCCTTCTTTGACAGATTTTGAATGTCTGTGATTCTATACGGGGTAGTTAGTCAGTCCTAATTACTAGACAGCAGTGTGTTTAGTGGAATTTTAAAAAATTGAGGAACACAGCTTAGATGGCCGCGATGATCACATTTTGCGCTACGTGACCCTGAGCCACGTGATGACGTTATTTTTAATTCATCTCCTCCCAGCTTCTATCTTACAAATTCAGTAATCGCATATTTCATTTCAGTGGGCATGTCTTGCTGTCTACATACCTGCGAACTACCTTCACTTTTATTTTTATCACACTAAGACAAATGAGCTGTTGTGAGCAATAGATGTATCAACGATTGGTGTTAGTATTTTCTTTCCTGTGGATTATTGACAAAAACTCTTGTGCTTCCGGCGACGGATGTTTTGGACTTTTTGGTGAGCGATATGACTCTTTTTATAACAACATTTATTTGTAGAAAAGCTTAAGTGGAACAGAACATTCAGTTTTAACAACAAAGTTTTAACACTCAGACTTGAAGTCACCAATAATCCAGAACATTGGGTTGTAAATTATCTGTTTGAGATCTTAGCTCGGGAGAGATTAGGATACACTAAAATAGAGCTTGTTCTAATCGAAGATAGTAACATCAGCAGTTCTCTAAAAAGACTTCAGTGTCCTAATACTCAATAAGTTCAAACAGAATATTCGTCGTATTGTAGTAACTTCTGTATCATTATCTTGGGCTTTAATATCATCGATCAATTTCTAGCGCTCTCATACGGACGTTATCTTTTGCTTGTTTTGCTTCATAAAACACACTGTCTTACTATTTATTTAAATGAAGTTTTCGTTAATTAATTGGACGCCATGTTCTACTTTCATTACCTTTAGTCTAGAAGTCTTCATAAGTTGCCATTAGAGCAAATTACCATCACATTCATTTCTAATCTCAAGACCATATTTATAAGTAAAATGAACAATATTTGAGCGAACAATTGTTTTCAATAACTTCATCATCAGGCTCTACAGTTATAAGTTCATAATTATTGTGTAAAATATCACAATAATTATGGACTTATAACTGAAGTTATTGAAAACAATTGTTCGCTCAAATATTGTTCATTTTTCAATATTCTATGGGGATCTTTAAACTGTTATTATTAGTAGCCAAAAAAGGTATACACGACTAAGTTATAGCCGAATCAGACACTTCTATGCATTTCTAAACTAATCTGAATTTGCCAGTAGCAGGAAACTTATGGTTGTTATTATTGTTTTTATGTATAGATGTTTCTGATAGGTAAAAAGAACTTCTCTTTTTCAAGTATTCCCTTCTCTTGTCGGTTGGAGTGCGATCCTAAAACTCGAGTAAACGCAAGTGATTCCAGGTTATCCGCCTTGGGCCTATGAATAATTCATCCACTTAGTTAACACTAAGCCAGTCACTGCCTTACCTTTTAGCTCTCTCAGTTGTATGGCTATAAAAAGGTCGTGCTATTTCCAGAATAATTCAATCATCGTAAGTTTCAGAATATTCTTCTTGTATTGGTACACTTTACTGCTTATTGCAGGTGGAGTGCTTCGTTTTATCTGAATAAATAAAGAAAACATTGATTGTCGGTTTTTTGTGCCTACAGTCACTCACTTTGTAAAAGTGCATTGTGTAGTGTAGTTTAACACTGAGCAACTAAAATTCTACATTAAAAATAATTGCGCTTCCTGTACTAATAACTGCAATCGTTTAGTGGTGGAAACTTTTAATTTGGTTCACTTCATTATTTGTACTTGGTTTCAGATGTCTTAAGTTACCTGAAATTCACCTTAACTTACTGCTGTGGTTACCACTTGGTGGGAATGTCAAATTCTGGGCAAAACCTTCTTCTGTTACCGACCATGGGCCTCTTGGGCCGATTCGTTCTTGGAAACTTCTAACACAAGTAAAGATAACATTTTCTCAGATTATTCTGTTAACCTATCAGTTTTTAATCTATTAATTAATTAAGTTTGAAGATCACTATGAATCTATATGTTTTCAACGTTTTGTTTTTTGTAAGTAATCAAACCTTAAGACTGTTAGAAGCTTCTCAAAATTAATATCAAGCTGCAATTTCTGCTTGACTAGTGATGTTATCACGTCTTACATTGTCTGTAACTGTAGGACTACCAAAAGTGTATGAATCTGGTTTTAATCTATGCTACGATTGTCAGGTGGACTTTCAGAGCACTAAGACACTATGCGGCGGAATCAACAATTAATATTGTGTGTATTACCAAAAGCTACACTTGTTTTCTCAGCTAGTGATAAACACGTAAACCAGCGAGCTTCATTACACTATGAATAATGCTATTTACATTTTAACTGAGTTATGTAAGTATCTACGTTGCTTATTATCCCTAGTATTTGCACTATATTACCAAGCTATTAGTCGGTTTACTCTTATTTACCTAATACTTCGATTGTTTATAACGATTAGATTATTATGCTAGCTTATTTCACGCATAATTCAGAAAATCAGTTAACTTTCAATTTCTCACATTTTATAGATTGCTAATAAGGGTCTTCAATCAAATAATTTCCTTGAGTACGTAATAGTTATATAGCATCTTGAGTAAATCTAGGATGTGTTTAAAATTTAGTCTAATTTTCAGACTATTTCGTATACTTGTCAGTAAGATTTTTATTTACATTGATAACAACGTTTATTTTCCAGTCCTGTTACAACAAATCACATCTCAGAGGAAATCCTAACTATACTTCCCTTAAATATGATTGTAGCTCAACTGTTGACACCGTTAGTCAAAGTAAGTATATCTTACATTAAATTTAACCTATGAAGTTTAAAGTAGTTCTCACTTCATTACTATTTTTAATACTTGTGTTCATGATCGGTCGAGCAATATATATTTGTGTTGAATTGAGTTTCTCTAATGTTTTCCACACTTTGTCTGGAAGCTTTACGCTAAGAAATCTGTATTGTCTTTTCTAACTTAGTATTGTTTCGACGCTTCTCATTGTACAGTGATTCTCTTCGTATACCTTACATCATGACGTATATGTAGTCGGTCGTTCCAATGGTATTTAAATAGAGCCAACTAACATAGTACACATGACGTTTGACGTAATTATTTGTTTAGCTACACTTTTAGATGGTATTATAAATGAGAACAGCATTACTGAATCTAAAGAAAGAAGATAGTCAGATCTAAGATTGCGAAATACTACTATTTTATGTAGTAACTTTTGGGAATAAGTAAATCCCTTAATTGCTAAGTCACATACCACTCATTTTGACATCACAGGATATTTATACAGATTTGTCCATAATTGATAAACCTAAATTATGCAAATGACAATTCTCTCGATATAGGAGAACTATACTAGACTAACTTTTAAAACCCTAGGTCCTGTGATTTTCTCCAACTTTCATCTAAAACTTGTAAATATATGATAAGAGATAGATTTGAAAATTGGCTGATGATATACTGAGCAAATCACTTCGTCATATTGATAATTAAAGTTTCTTCGCATTAGTATTTAACTTGATTATTTAAAAGCTCATTTGATCTGATTGAGTTATCTTCCAAGTATCTCCAACACCCCACCATACCACATGAACTCGATCGTCTGCTCATTAAAAATTTTCTTGAATCTATGTTACACTTACTTTATGATTTAGACAGTAATTCCATTCACATAATTTTCTGTGGATATTAATCTTCAGTAGACTTTCGGTAAAGTTGGTGATTCTTAATCCATACTGTCGTGCGTTAGTTAGGTTTACTAGAAGTGGAATTTTAATTTGTGATTTCAGTTAGATGGGTAAATGCGACATTTATTGGATAAATTTAACTTTTTGTTATCTGATGGGTGCACGAATAAATGTACATTGTTTTTATTCATACAATCAAAAAATAACCCGTTGTCGTCCTTATTCATGTCATTAAAACACAATTAAAGCAATATTGTTGTAATTGTGTTTTTTGCTATAAAAACGACCCAGCTATTCCTATTGCTTAGTATTCTTATACGATGACACTCGACAAGACCCCAAAATCAGAACACGTTGAACAGGAATGAAATTGTATTCAAAATAATAATGATAAGTGAACAGCAATCCACAATCAGCAATCAATAGTTTAAATAATGCTCATATATTTATAGTATATACATAAGAAGCTTATATATTTTTCTGCAATAATGTGCCCGGGTTAATCGGTTTAAAATTAGCCAATCAGCGCGCAGCAACACCATCATGCATAAAACATGCTTTAATCCAATCTATGTCCCACTAACAAATATGTAAACAGTTTCACGTGAGTTCAGTAGTTACTTCATAATCCCTCTTGATCTGAAGTGCAGATCTAATAAACCAAATAGATGTCGATATTTGACCAGGTTTCTTATAGAAATTTTTCATTATTATACTGGAAAAAGTGACTTATAGAAATTTGTTAAACTATTAATCACTACTTATGAAGACTTTAGAACTTCATAATTAGCCTTAAAAATATGTGATATATGTATGTGTCATAACATAGATTACTGATTTGGTTTATTTTATCTTTCAGATTTCGTTAAGTTTATCGTATTATATTGCGTAATATTACTTACTACACCTGTGATTTTTTCTGATCGTGAGTTTGTTAATATGTATTCGAATTTTGTCAGTCTTTCAGTGAAAGGTCAGTCTTTTGTATCTCCTTAAAAAGTTCTATTTTCCTTTTGCCAGACTACTCAGGTTATCAACCGGAGAGTGTACAGAATTCAGATTTACTCAATAATCATAGCTTACTCTCTGGGAAGTCAGTAACTATTTTGGATTTTGAATTAAATTCAACATGTTTACGGTATAATTCTTATAGTATTCCTCCACCCCCTTTGTGCAGTACTGATACAAAATCTACCTCAACAAATAGTTATCAATATTGTTACACTGAATCTTACCAAGCTGTTAAAGTGACATGGGCTAAATTACGAACGGCAGCTCCACAAATTTTTCAACTTGCATCTAAAATGTATATGTCTCATGATGAATTGGGCGAATTGGTGCACTCAGTATGTTATTATACAATTATATATATATATATATATATATATATATATATATATATATATACTAAATAGTTTCTTACTGATGAACGTTTCTACAGTATCTGGTGTTTATGGCTTATTAATGTTGACCATTTTTCGATGTTATTTCTAAATATTTTTGTAAACGAGGTCGGTTGCGAATTATCGAATCTTTGCATCCATACTTTATTATTCAGTGTGTACAGATAGTTCTATTATTTTAAATTAGTTGAAGCACAAATTAACATCAGTCGATACCAAATATGAATTTTTTCCAAAAACTTGTTATCCTCATCGACAATAATGTACATTCATATTTTCTACAGTGATCTAGAGATAGGTTGGATAACATATTTGTTTTATATGCATTAAATTATTATTATTCCGAAGCGACCACCCAGTTAACACTCTGAAAACTACTGTTACTGTTGTTATTACCAATTTTACTTTGCCTCTTTAAAGTTGTCTAAATTTGAGGTATTCTCAATGAAATTTTCGGTTGACTAATTAATGACGAATCAAAATATTCAAATAGATAATCAAAGTTATAAAATTTTATCATTAATTTACTGTGAAAGTTAACGTAAGCCAAAGCAGCAACAATTATACGTGATATTTTTAATGATCATCTTTCTAATACTAAAAAATGTCCTTACCTATTACTAGGATTCTTTGAAAAATGGAATTGGTCATAGCATTTCGAATGATATTTCAATTGTTTTCCACTGAATCAGCCAGTCAGTGAGTCGCAACGTAGAACCTGTACGTATGTACATCGGTTCAAGTTGCCATATTTCATAAGCATAGAGAGGTGAAGCTGTCAGGCGAAATCCCAAAATAGTGGAGGTAGTAACAGTATCAGTGATAATAGGAAAGGTTAGGCATCAAAGGTACGACTCGGAAAGAAAGTATAAGTGAAATAAAAACCGAAAATTGTTCTGAGGAATTTAGAACCTCAGGATTTGGTAAAAGACAAAGGATGGATCCACTTACTCCATCGCAAACAATTTTGAGCCATGTCACTCGAGGTCTCTGACCATTGGTTGCGATAATCTTTTCCATTGATCGAAAGTGGAAGTTTCACAATCATCAATATAGTGTACCATGATTTTTCATATATATAAATTATTTTGCTACGCGGAAGAAGGGGCAGTTATCAAGGATGTTGGGAGATCATAAAAATACAATGATTATGTAGTTCTTGTTATTTATTTTACCAGTTGTGTAATTGTAATTTATATATGATTCCATTCGGGAAGTAAGCTTTTTCTTGAGACTGCATGAAACTTCAGTGCTTTAGATAATTAGACCGTTGAAAATTTATTTGGTTGATTTCCTTTATAAAGATTAGTGTAGTTATGACTTTATATATATATATATATATATATATATATAAAGCTTACAACAATGAAATAATACTCATCGAGCAGTTGCACTCTGTCATAACTATATAATATCACTGATATAATTCATCCTACCATCTAATTCGAATAATCTTACCAGACAATTTATTCCCTTAAGTTGATTGACATGTAAATCTTCTCATTAGTATTTCCCTTTCATAATTTGTGGTCAAATAAAAAGTTCCCTTTTTATTAAGTAATTTTCGAAATCGATATCAGTTAAGTTAGATGCTTCTGAAATTGCATAAAATAAAAGGCAGATTTCAGGCTATTGGATTTTTAGCTTTAACAGCCGTGAGATTTAGTAAATGTTCATGCAAAAAAATGATTTTAAGCCAAGTGATTGCTGATCTACACCCATTGATTGTGATCATTTGTTAAACCAAAGATGAGGTTCATATATTTTTCAACATCATTCCTTATCTAGATTTGCTCCACTTTTTCTTCAGAGAGCAACAAACTCTTATTTGCATTGACTGAGCATACGCAGCATAAATTTCAACTGTCAGCTAATTAATATTCTTATCTCAATCTACACAGTGTATCTGTCGTATGTCATATCACTGTTCAATGGCAAATGATTTATTTATGAGTTGTATATTCTACTCCTATTTTAATCAGTAGAAAGTATGAAATGGTAGTAGTTACTATCGTTATCGCCGTCTATAGAGCACTATATTGTAGAAATAAAATTCTTATTTATATAACGTTGCTAAAATACGTGATTGATTGTTATTTTTATGTGTGTATAAAATGAAGTTGTCCAACTTTGTAAATGCACAATTATTGAATGTGATTATTATTCTCAACTTTTGTTATTTAGGCCTTACTCGACTCAAATATAGGTCGTCAGTCAACATATAAACAAGTTGCATGTCGCTGGCTTCGTCAGAATCCGACTAAATGGAAAAGTTGGACAGTTGATTGGGACAAAAAACTAAACTTGACAGTGGCTGGTCTGTTCAGTATGTATGGGAAATGGGTGCTGTATGGTCTTGATCGAGGTCAGTTATTTTCATTAGCATAAATTATTCTGTTGAATAAATATTGCCATACAAACAGAGTTCCTAAAAACCTGACCATATGTTTTAACTGCTTATCAGTTGTTTAAAAGATTAGATTCTATTCATGATACCGTTTGTCAGTAATTTTATGAATAACATAATGTCTCGACTACATTTTCTCTCTGTGATACCAAACGAGGCTGTTTCGAATTTCAAAGGAATAGAAAAAAATTTTCGTTACTAATAAAGATTGTCGCTACATAACATTAGTTTAATAGTACCTGGTGTTTTGTTGTTTCATTCCGCTTATATTATTTGTATTCTCTCCCAGTGAACTTATGTTAAATTTTTTTAACTTAAATTTCATTTCATAACTGACCAGTGGCTCAAGAAGCTGTGAACTTTGTCAACGCCGACTCAGATTATTTTCGCAATTCTGAATATGCATTAAGTTTGGATGTACGTAATTTAACATGTGAACCTGACGTCGTGTTAAGTGATTATTTTGAAGTGTTGGAGAATGCTGTCAATACTCGACTAATTGGTTCTATCGGTAGGATTTTATAATTGTTTTACAATTTTTAAAAAGTTACTTTTAGCTTATTAAGATAAAATTTTGTTAATTATACTGGTTTTTAAAATTTGTTTTCATCGTAGATTTAACTAAAGCGATGTGATATACATCAGTTTCATATTCACTGTTAAATGGATTTGTGACTGCAAAGCTTATATTTCTTGTTTGGCTGTTCAAACCCCAAACGTTATCGGTTTAACTATGACTCCAGTAGAAATGGGATGCGGTGCCTCTAAGCCTCACGTTAAACTAATTTTTTCTATAAATGTTTATGGTTTTATTGTCGTGAATATTAGGCTTTAAACAAGTAAACAACACCTGATTTTTTCCAGCTTATTTCACAAAAGGTTTATAGGAATAGATTATTTCCTTTTTAAACTATTGGTCTTCTCTAAAAAAGTCGATTAGTTGAATAATTGCACATAACCTTCTCAGCATACAGTATGTAACGGTTATTTCTTTTATTGAAAAGATACACAATGTATATGTATAGACTCACTACTTAATGAGTACACTTCACAGTCGTCTGTTTTATGTCGTGTAAATAATCAATATTATTTCCCCTATATCAAGAAATAGTAGATGTACTTTATGAAATAAATCATTATCCTCGACACTCAGTTTTCTCTCTTTTATTTAAACAGTTCTTTTCCTTCTTTCCTATCTCCGAGAGCACTTAACTAGTAGTCGATCTCATCTCTTTCACAGTAATTATATAAACGTTCATCTGGTAGACAACGAGTCCCATTCCTTGTTTGGCTTTTTTTCATTCTGAATTTGATCAACCATATTTTATGTTTTATTATGATGTATGGTCTATCTGCTTTTTTTATTAGCTGCTCTATGCTCAGACTCTATAGAGGCTGTAGTTGAATTAGCAAATATTCGCAAACAGATTATTGTCAGTCCAACAGTAGGTAGTGCACGTTTTCTAGAACAACAACAATATCATTACTTCTTTCGTACAGTACCATCAATGACTTTGGCTAAGTAAGTAATCATAACGTTTATATAATGTTTAAATTCTAAATATTTATTCAAATATTACTTTTATGCTTAAAAGTCAAATATTGTTTTATTAAACAAATATAACTTAATGATTTGTGACTGTTAAACTAACGGAATGAATTTTGTCTTCTAACTTGAAAGTCAATTATATTCATATGTTATTTCTAATGAAAAGTCTAATTTCCGTGTACTTTTAGATAAAATATTAATTAATAATTGGTAATCAAACATTTTTGTTGTCAGTAATTTATAATTGAGATTACTGTTTGGAACCCTGACATGAATTTCACAATCAATAAAATTAAGTGTCAGTGCTTTTTTGTTTCAGTTCGTTCATTCTTAACCCCTTTTAAACTTGTAAGTATAGTTCTTACAGCTGCTTTGAATGTCCAATCTCTATGTTGGCACAATATGAATCTGTTTTACTCTTAAATTAACTATTCAAAATTATTTCAATCTATTTTAAAATAGTTAAGTCATTAGATTTTCTTTTCACCAAGTACATTTTGCAAAACTGTACAATCGTAAATGATAAATTATAGATCAATGAATAATAATTGTTAGAATTCGATGAGTTGTAATGTAACGTAATATCTCCCCACATAATTTTAGATAAGTAATAAAATAGGTACTAAGAGGAGGATTTATGTATAGTGCGAAATAGTTATTCATTAGGATAAGCGTTGAATAATTGTGGTCGTTGTTAAGCTGAAATGAAAGAGGCCTACAGACACTAGTAAAAAATTCCGAGTAGGAAAAACTTTGCATGATAACATTAATGATCATGGAATACAGCTAAAAAGAAATATTTTTGTAAAAGTGGGAGTTGAATATTTCGATCATCGTAAACAGAACGATTTAGTAAATTATTTTTGCATGTACAACTGAAGTTTTAAATTATGAAGTGTTAAATCTTCTGTGATGTAAAGTGGATTCATGAAATTCAACCAATAAACTGTAGCTTCTAAATGAAAAATCTCGGACTAAAATTAAGTATTCAATAATACTCGCTTGAATAATAGTGTTTTTTGTCGTTTCTATTGTCTGCTTCTTTATTTTTCAGTTTTATACTACTTCGGTTATTTCTAGTATGGGGTTGGCATCGGATAGTTGTATTTCGTAAATCGGATCATTTTTTTTGAACCTTTATTATTTCAAGCAAAGGGGATTGAAATTATTGCCAATATTGAAATGGATGAACAACAATTAACTTATAAACTGGCAAAAGATGTAAGTATGAATTTTCTGTATGTCGTTCTATTGCGTTAGCTCTGTGTATAGTTTTAACTCATCCAATAGGTACTTGGGTATGAGACGTATGAGGGCTATAGGTGCTACTCAGTTACCTAAACTGAAGTGGGGGTCAGGATTCTAATATGGGACATCGTGACTAAAACTCAAACTCCTTAACTATTAAGCCATCACACTGCATAGCTCCAAGCTGAGTACAGAAAACTCTACGTGAAATGTGAGTTTCATTGAAAAAACTACATTTTATTGGACCAATATTGGTAGTTACAAGTTACTTGAAGTGTATTTGACTCCCACGTTGTGATTACTGTACTTTCTAACTAGTACTAGTTGCACTAATTTGTTCACATACTCGTGTATTTATTGAATTTGATAATACTTGTATAAAGGGAACCACTTTCTGAAATTTTATCTACTGTTTCTTTTTTCGTGTGTTTTATCGAGTCATTTTTATGGTTTGTCCATCTTACAGACTTTAGAAGAATTAAAACAACAGAACAGTCGCATATTTGTTGTCGAATATGATGCACGTGGTACCTATTTGATACTCTGTGCAGCATATCATGAAGGGATGTATTTTTCCGCTGGATACGTTTGGTTCTTAAATCCATGGCTTTCTGATCAGTGGTGGTCGGAATTGGTTAGTCGAAATACTGAGTGTAATTTTAGTGAAATGCTCAATATTACTTCGTGGACTTTTACTGTTGGACACCAGTTGTTAATTGGTCCTATGGTGCACAGTTTTATTCCACGTACTAGTGAGTTTATGGATTCAGACTCTAAGTCTGGCAATCATTCAAGTGGTACTCCGAATCGAACTTCATCTGAGCAAATAAGACGCAGGCGCCATGTTTTTGCTCAATCACAAACGTTAGAAGTACCACCTGTCTTGTCAAGAACTAAACATAATCCTAATCCAAATGATTTAGGGAAATCTATATTCAGTGATCACTCAAAACGTAAATTAATCAAAGATCCTCTACACGATTACACTGTGTATACTTATGATGCTGTTATCCTACTAGCAAGTGCCGTTGTTCATCTTTTAAGAGAAAATCCTGCAGCAGCATCTGCTCTTAACCATCCAGATGTATCTGAAACTCTTCGAACACTTGTTGCACGTACAAATTTCGGTTATCGATTTCAGACAGATAATTCAACAACTCGACAATCTAGTGAAATAAATGAACTTGTCCCAGGTATCAATGATGATAATTTTGGTGTAGATGCTGGATTTCAACTTGCTGGTGACTATTATGGTATACGTAGTCAAAGTCCTGCTTCAGCGTCAAATTTACGATTCAATGATCATAATGAACGTATTGCTGATTATTGGCTGTTAAAACAAAGACATTTAAATACTACTGTCCCAATTATAATGTGGTCAACAAAAAACTATGAAGAAGTACATGAACAGGACCAACAACAACAATCGTATGATCCATTCAATCACATGATTTCATCAAATAATATGTCAAACAAGTATGATTGGAAAACAACCAATGCTCCATTTCTTTACGATGAATTTCAAAAACGGATGAGTGAACGTTGGTTAGACCATGTTAATTGGCATACATTAGGTGGCCCACCAAATGATGGTTCTATCAATGAAAAAAATTGTACATTATCATTTCTTAGTAATCAATTACATATGGGTTGTACAGGTGCTACCGTATTTGTCACTGTCACTGTTACCGTTTTAGTTTTATTGCCATTGATTGTATTTGCTCATTTTTATTATCGACGTAAACTGAAAGAAATTGAAAATCGAACACGTAAACCTTTTGAAGAACTATGCACAGAACTGGCTGATTTAGATGTAAGTTATGAACTTTTGTAGATTTATCTGTGTTTTTGCTATCAACTGTTTTCTTAAGACTAGATATATTTCGGATTGTTCCTTTTTTACTATAATGATAAAATATTTTCCGTTTGGGCTATTTCGCAGTTTTATTCCCGTTACAATCAAATTTATGACAGAAGTACGATAACTATTGTCAAAGTAATGCTATTTAAATACATTCAATGGCGTTAGATGGTTAGAGGTAACTGTCAGAAAATCCTGGACCTATGTTTCATGTTAGTTGACACTCGTAAGCAAAGCGTACATTCAACCTTTTGGAAGCTTGCTATCCCTGGTAGATCCGAACCGTCGTCACCCATGTCCACAGTTTGAGACGTTACTCTCAAACTGGTAGCTTACTTACTTACTTACGCCTGTTTTTTTATTTATTTATTTATTTAAACACATATATATTGGTACAAAAGGGCACCAGGTACATATGCGCCACACAAAATAATGAAAGTAGGAAGAGAAGGGATGAAAAGATAAGGCGGACTAAAATGTACAACCAGAAGACTCTTTCAAATAGGAAAGTAAGAACCATACTTTATGTAGAAAGTAAAAGAAGGTTGCAGCAGGATCGCCACTGGTTTCTATTCTGAGCCATATCTGATAACGTCTCTAGCCACTGTGTTGCACCATCTCTCGGACCCCAACCAGGGAGTCGTGAAGGACCAACAAAAGCTAGCCCTTTGCAGCTCTCTTTCATGCCACGACACCATGTCATACACTGACCTCCTCTCCGCTTTTTCCAACCAGTCCCAGGGTCGGCAAATAATGCACGACGTGGAAGTCTCTGGGACGACATTCGTAAAACATGTCCAAGCCACCGAAGTCGGTGTTTCAAGATGGTGACACCAATTGAATTATCGTCTCTGTGCCCGAACACACGATGCCGAACCTCTGCATTACTAACATGGTGTTGCCACTGGATGTCAGCAATCCTTCGGAGGCAACGATGATCGAACACAGAGAGACGTCTAACATCCTCAACTCGGAGAGGCCAGGTTTCACAAGCATAGAGCAAAACTGCTCTCACCGACGCGTTGTAAATCCGACTTTTTACAGCCAGACTAACATCACGAAGGCGCCAAAGATGGCCCAGATTGGCATAAGCCGATCTGGCTTTCCTTATACGTGCATCAATCTCATCACTCACGCCACCACCAGCACTTATATAGCTACCTAGATACACGAACTTCTCAACTACTTCGATCTGCTCACCATCCAGGGTGAGTACAGGATTAGAATCCTGCCAGTCTTGTAGAAGTACTTTGCACTTGGAGGGTGCAAAGCACATGCCGTACCTGCGGACACTGATTGCCAACTGATTAAGTGCTGATTGCATGCCTTGGGCATTATCGCACAGTAAGACAATATCATCCGCATACTCAAGGTCGAGAAGTCGTTCTCCAGGCAACATATCCACACCGCCATTACTTACATCCATCAGAGCTGTTTCCAAGATGTCGTCGATGGCAAAGTTGAAGAGGAATGGTGAGATCGGGCAACCCTGCCTAACCCCACTGCTCGAATGGAACAAGGGAGAAAGGTGGTTGTATGCCCTCACTCTGCCTGAGGTGTTCGTGTACAGGGCCTTTAAGATGTTAATGAACTTCTCAGGCACACCCTTCTTCAATAGACAATCCCAGAGAACAGTCCTGTCCAACGAATCGAAGGCAGCCCTGATATCAAGAAACACTACGATTGTTGGCCTGCGATAAGTATGACGGTGTTCTAACATTTGGCGGAGGGTGAAGATGTGATCAATGCATCCTCGACCAGAACGAAAACCAGCCTGCTCCTCGCGAGTCAATCGTTCTCGGGTTTTAAACAACCTACGAAGAATGATAGAAGCCAATAGTTTGGACGCAATCGAAAGTAGACTTATCCCCCGATAGTTATTGCAGGAACAACGCGAACCCTTTTTAAAGATAGGGACGACTATTGACTCATTCCATGATGTTGGAACACTTTCTTGCTCCAAAACCTTTCCAAACAACACAGTCAATTCCTTAGTCAGAAAGTCGCCACCATCTTTAAAAAGAGCCGGAGGTAAGTCATCTGGGCCAGGTGATTTGTAGCGCTTCAAGAGTTGGAGTTCCTTGCGGACTTCCGCCTCGTTTGGTGGATCAGTCGTCACCGGCCATGGGGGGCAGGACAAGCTGGTTGATGTTGCCGGAGCAGCAGGCCAGTTGAACTGCCCTTCGAAAAACTCCGCCCATCGTCCAAGACGTCGAGAGATGTTAGTGATTGGCATCACATCATCCTCACAGATTGTTTCACTCACACCAGACTTCTTGCTGCCAGTGGCTCGGATGAGTTGGAAGAGCTTCCGGCAGTTACCAGATGCAGCTGCTGCTTCCATCTCATTAGCACGCTCCGACCACCAGGCTTCCCGGTCCTTACGCAAGCTTTGCCCAATTTCATTACGTAACAGCCTTCGTTTGTGGTCAAACTCACGGTCACCCGGAGTAGACCGACGGGCTTCCATCAGTTGTAAGGAGCCAGAAGAAACCCAGTGCTTGTAAGCGGGACGTTTCGCGAAGCCGCAAGCGGCTTTACTCGCCATTTTCATGGCGTCGTGAAGATGCAACCAATGCTCATCTATACTTTTCGGTGGGGTGTTAGCTAGCCTAGAGGCTAGCTCCGCTCGGTACTTGCAACAGAAGTTGCAGCCAGTTTACTAATATCAATCCGTTGGTGGTGGTCAATCCTTCGGCCACTGAAAAGTAAGGTGAGATTGGCGCAGACCAGGGCATGATCAGACTCCAGATAGGTACTCCAAAAGGAGCGGCAGTCTTGTACACAACCACGCCAGCGGTAGCTGATCGCGATGTGATCAATCTGAGTCCAGGCTTGGGATGCAGAGGGAGGACGCCAGGTGGCACACCGGCGATGACTGTGCCGGAAGTTAGTGCTGGCCAGAAACAGGTTGTGGTCTGTGCACAGTTGCAGCAAACGGTCCCCGTTATCTGTCCTGCGACCAACAAGTCCCCATCGGCCACCTAGACGACTCTCTTCTGTGCCTAGACGCCCGACCTGTGCATTCAAGTCTCCGGCTAGTACTACAATATCTGTCGAACGCGCTTTCTGGAGAAGAACTGTTAACTGGTGGTAAAACTCATCCTTGATTGCATCCGGGCTGCAATCTGTCGGGGCATAGGCGGAGATGACGAGAAGACACCGATTCTCACACCGATTTCTTCTCATTTTGATGGAACTTTCTAATCTAACAGCACATAACCGACTGTTAATGGGTATCCAATCGATTAGTGCTGCCTCAGCCCTAATGCTTAGTGCAACATCAACGCCTGCAAGACCGGACGAAGATGCCACAGGGTCCCCGGATAAGTGCACGTGAAACAAGCTTTTCGAAGCGACAGATGGAGAGCGGATTTGTAGTACTTCACTAGAGTCTTGAATACGGGTCTCGGATAGACAGCAAACATCAACATTAAGACCTTCCAAAGACATAGCCAGCCCTATCTGTTGTCTGATCTGCATTAGTGTGCGAACGTTGAAGGAAGCCAGCTTGAACGGCGTACGCGGTTTCAGAAAGACTGCCTCAGTATTCATTATCGGTGGAAGCATTCACTTTCAACCAGACAGTGACTGGAGATCGTTTAGATAGGACAGATTTTCCACCAAGAGCGAGCTGATGCATAAGTTGAAGAGTAAGGTTACACAAATTGGGGTAAAAGGGGGTGAATTAGCGATATGGTAAGTAATAATAATAATAATAATAATAATAATAATAATAATAATAATAATAATAATAGTAATAATAATAATAATGATAATAATAACGTAAATTGTCTTGCTTATAATATGAGCAGGAATAGAATCGTCAATAGAGTTCGTCATTTCATTCATTTGTGTGTGGGCTGTGATACTGCCCGGGTGCCCAAACCGAAGCAGGTGGTTTTCTTAGGGGGCCACACCCGGAGCCTTTGACCTAAAGGTCTGATCCACAAGGCAGTGGAGCATCGTGAGGAGATGCAGTCCCATGGTAGTCGTTGACCAATGAGAGGTTCTTCCGCCATTCGTTCCATCAGGAAACTAGAGCCCATGTGCACCATTGGTTTGGAATCAGGGTTTTCCAACTCCCCTAGGTGGACCCTCCGTGTCCACCAATCCGGTTATAGCGCCGGACATTCGCTTTTCGTCCTCTCACTTTCGTAAACAACACCCCCGCCACGAGAAGGCAGTGAGTAGGACTTCCCTGGCGGAGGCTATATATTCGCCTGTTACTCCCAATGGAGCATAGGCCGCCGACCAGCTTCCTCCAACTCACTCTGTCCTGGGCCTTCTTTTCTAGTTCTATCCAGTTCTTGTTCATTCTTCTCATGTCTGTCTCTATTTCTCGGCGTAATGTGTTCTTTGGTCTTCTTCTTCTCCTTTGACCTTCAGGATTCCACGTGAGGGCTTGTCTTGTGACGCAATTAGGTGATTTCGTCAATGTGTGCCCAATCCACTTCCTGCGCTTCTTCCTGATTTCTTCCTCTGCTGGAGTCTGGTTTGTTGTCTCCCACAGTAACTTGTTGCTGATAGTGTCTGGCCATCGGATCCGAAGTATCTTGCGTAGACAGCTGTTAATAAACACTTGTATCTTCTGGATAATGGCTTTCATAGTTCTCCACGTCTCCGCCCCATACAATAGAACTGTCTTGACATTTGTATTGACAATTCTAACCTTGGTGTTGGTTGACAATTGTTTTGAGCTCCAGATGTTTTTCAGTTGTAGGTATGCTGCTCTTGCTTTGCCGATCCGCGCCCTCACATCTGCATCTGATCCACCGTGTTCATCAATGATGCTGCCCAGATATGTAAAGGTTTCCACATCTTCCAAAGCTTCTCCATCAAGTGTAATTTGATTGGTGCATATTGTGTTGTATCGGAGAGTCTTGCTTTTCTCTTTGTTTATATTGAGACCTACTGCTGCTGAGGCTGCTGCTACACTGGTCGTTTTCTCCTGCATTTGTTGTTGCGTTTGTGATAGAAGAGCCAGATCATCCGCGAAATCTAAATCGTCAAGCTGCATCCTGCCTGTCCACTGTATTCCGTGCTTTCTTCCAGATGTTGACGTCTTCATGATCTAGTCGATCACCAGGAGAAAGAGAAACGGTGAGAGTATGCAACCTTGCCTTACACCGGTCTTTACTTCAAACGAGTCGGTGAGTTGTCCTCCGTGGACGATTTGGCAGTTTAGTCCATCATAGGAGTTCCGTATGATATTGACTATCTTCTCAGGCACGCCGTAGTGTCGAAGAAGCCTCCATAGTGTCGTCCTGTCCACGCTATCAAATGCGTTCTCGTAGTCGATGAAGTTGATGTAGAGTGATGAATTCCATTCGATTGATTGTTCCACAATGATACGTAGATTTGCGATTTGATCTGTGCACAATCTATCCTTACGAAATCCAGCTTGTTGATCTCGAAGTTGGGCGTCCACGGAATGCTTCATCCTGTTTAACAATACTCTGTTGAAGACTTTTCTTGGTATTGAGAGGAGAGTGATGCCCCTGTAGTTGTCGCACTTGCTCAGATCGCCTTTTTTGTATCTTGATCAGAAGTCTTTTTTTCCAGTCTATTGGTACTTGTTCTTCATCCCAAATCTTACTGAAGAGGATGTGGAGTATCTTGGTAGTTGCTGCTACGTTAACTTTCAGTGCCTCCGCCGGGATGTTGTCTGGTCCCGTTGCTTTGCCACTCTTGATTTGTCTAATGGCTATGCTGTTCTCTTCAATTGTTGGTGGGCCAACATCGATTGGGAGGTCTATGGGTGCTGCTTCGATGTTGGGTGGGTTCAGTGGAGCTGGTCGATTCAAGAGTTCTTTGAAGTGTTCTACCCACCTGTTTCGTTGTTCTTCAATGTCGGTGACTACTTTGCCTTCCTTGCTCTTCACTGGTCTTTCTGGCTTACGGTAATTTCCAGCAAGTTTCTTTGTTGTATCATACAGTTGTCTCATGTTTCCCTCTCTTGCAGCCTTTTCCGCTGTTATCGCTAAATCTTCCACATATTTACGTTTGTCCGTTCTGATGCTCTTCTTCACTTGCTTGTTTGCCTCTGTGTATTCGGCTTGTGCCTTGGCTTTTTCCGCTCTTGTTCGGCTGATATTGATTGCTGCCTTCTTGTTCCTTCTTTCTTCAATTTTATCCAGTGTACCAACAGTGATCCATTCCTCGTGATGGTGCTTCTTTTGGCCCAGAACCTCCTGACATGTTGAAACGATTGCCTCCTTGATACCTTTCCAGTTGCTCTCCATGGTAGTTCCCTCTCCATTGAGTAGATCATGAAAGGCCTCGAACCTGTTGCTGAGGGCTATGTTGAATTTGTTGAGTTTGTCAGCATCTCGAAGAAAGGCCGTGTTAAACTTTTGTGATGTTGTCCGCGCCGTTGTCCAGTGCTTCTTGAGTTTTAGTTTCATCTTGGCGATCAGCAAATGATGATCGGATGCTATATCAGCTCCTCTTCTGGTTCTCACATCCTCCATCGTCCTCCTGAACTTTTTGTTGATGCAGATATGGTCGATTTGATTCTGTGTAGTGTGATCCGGTGAAATCGAAGTGGCTTTGTGTATGTTTTTGTGTGGGAATATGGTGCCACCTGTGACCAGTTTATTGAAGGCACATAGGTTTGCAAATCTCTCACTATTTTCGTTCCTTTCTTCCAGTCCATGTTGTCCCATGACGTCTTCGTATCCAGTGTTGTCCTTTCCAACCTTGGCATTCAAATTTCCCATCAGAATGGTCAGGTCCTTGGTTGGGCACTTCTCGAAGATCGACTGCAACCTGTCGTAGAATTGGTCTTTAGCGTCTTCATCGTAGTCGTTGGTAGGCGCATAGCATTGGATGACATTCATTGTAATTCCCTCTCTCTTTGTTTTGAAAGAGGCTTTGATGATCCTTGGTCCATGAGATTCCCATCCAATAAGTGCATTTTGTGCTTTTCTGGACAGCATCAACGCAACTACTTGTGTATGTGGGGCGTTTTCTTCTTCATGACCAGAGTATAACAGAAGTTCTCCTGAAGACAGTCGTCGACATCGCTGATTCCAAGAACCTCCAGGTTGTATTTTCCCATTTCTGCAGCAATTTGGAAGACTCTTCCGATCTCCCACATTGTTCGGACATTCCATGTACCTATAAAAATTGTCGCTCTGGTTGTAAGAAGGTGCATCGGCCTCATGACTTCCGAAGGAACTCGGCTTTCATCATGAGACGTCATAATTATTCCTTCTACTCCCAGGGCAGAGTTTGAATAATTTGATTGATTTTTTCTGGTTAGCGTTTTTTTAGCGAGTTGATTTTCTATGGGATGGAGTCGCTAACCCCATACCCAACCCTCCTCCTTTGTATGGGCTTGGGACCGGCAGTAACCCCCAGAGGAGCTACAGGCGGAGTTGATATAAATTAATCAGTAATTCCTTATTCATATGTATAAGTTGCAACACCAATAAATTAACTACTTTAACTGAAATCTATAACTAATAGCTGAGTTATGTATTTGTTTTCTTGATAGACTCGACATCTCGTGTACTATATTTTGATCCTAAACGATCGAAAATGATGATCGGATGCTATATCAGCTCCTCTTCTGGTTCTCACATCCTCCATCGATCGAAAATCGGCCGGAAATCCTGAACCTAGATAATCTCAGTCCAAATCCATCAGGGTGAATGGGTTCCCTAGAGATCGTAGGTCTAGCTTGCTGACGAGTGCCAACTAGCACAAAACTTAGGTCCAGAGTTCCCTGCCTATCACTTTCAACTACCTTACACAAAATCGTTCACCTGATCTCAACCCATCGAGATTAACGATCACAGTGCCACATTATCGATAAAATACGATCAACAGTAAGGACTAGACAAACAAGAGGATGCCCACTATTCAGTGATCTATCAATGTTTACAGCTGTCCTGCTGACCTTGCCAACTGTTCTCAATCAAAACTAACGCAGGTTGCCTAATTCTGAAATATTTAATGATGTAGAACAAGCCATTAGTTGTTTATTCTCCGCAAGTTATGAATCTCATTGTTTTTCGGGGGTTCTTTATTAATTACTAGTTCATTTGCTTAATGTTTTATAAATATGAAATAAATTTGTAACACTTATTGAGCTTATTCTGATATATATTGTTTAAATATATACAATTTGTTACAGACCTTCTTGTAGGTTAGTCATTCTTCCAATTCCTGTTTTTTTATGCGCGTAATTCCTACTTTACCTCGTGTACACATAAATATTTACTTTATTCATCAAGAGGAACAGTCGTAATACGAGTTGAAGTAGTATTAGTAGTAGTAAAAATTATAACAGTGTTTTCAATTTCATTGTTTTCACCTTTCATTTTTCAATGTCATTTTATAGATGCCTGCTGAAAATATTGTTTTAAATCGTCGGGTTGGTCAAGGTGCTTTCGGTTTAGTATTTGGTGGTGAAGCTAAAAAAAGTGATTTATGGGAAGCAGTTGCTGTGAAAGTAATTAATGAGAAAGCGAATTATGAAGGAAAAATTGATTTTCTTTCTGAAGCAAAATTAATGCGTTCTTTAAATCATCCGAACGTTGTTCGCTTAATTGGTATTTCCTTGAATCCAAAAGCAAGTCTATACCTGATTATGGAGCTCATGCTTCTTGGTGATTTAAAAACATATTTATTATCACGCCGAATTTTAGCTCAAAGGTAAACGTACATCCTTTCAGAAATCATGTATCTCTATTTCGTGTTTAGTTAAATTATGATTCACTGCAGTTTTGTGCTTGACAAAATCTGTAATAGGAAATGTTCCAAATAAATTTAACAACATTTTTAGTGTGAATTATCTTAAGAATAAGTAGTGAACCAGAAACCACTCCTTACATTCATATTCTCGCAATCCGATAGGTTATCTCAGGTGTCTGATCATTAGTTACTCAACTAAGATTTAACTCCCATTTCGACGTTCAACGTGGTCTTAAGATGTGATAGAACAACAAAGAACCCATCAAGTTGAGGAAAAGACAAATTGATGTTTATTTCTTTTTCAATAACTTCAATTTTATCACTAAAATAATTGTCTGTTATCAGGATTCTTTAATCGTTGATGCACAATATACTTTTTAAAGAATCCAGACTGAAAGATGCTGTGAAATGATGAGACAGTAATGTGATCGTAAATCATCGTCAAATATACTGATAAGTTTGTCAAGGATCGCCTTACAAATGGAAAGAATGAAATTCAAGTTGTAAATTAACATATGTACAAACGACAATAAATAATACAAACAAGTGTTGGCATAGTGAAAATCGATATTAAAGTGTTCAAGTAAATTGAAACGTTTTAAACCATGTTAATGTAAAATTACTTTAGTGGATTTATGTCACTGGATTTCATTATCTGTTCAAGTATTGATCTGTTAATTCATCTCGTTTAATCTCGACAATTGATGGCTTTACACCCCCTACAGAAGTTAAAAATTGGAAAGGAATAACTTCGCTTTTGTGGTAACATACACTAACATTGGGGCACATAACAAAGCTAACAACAAAGGCTATCGCGAAAATGTCATTAAGGTTATTCTTTAAATAAACAACTGACATGTAATGACAACGAGCCAGGTAATCTGATCTCTTCTTAGCAGATCTACATAGCCAGACAAGAACAAGCTTCGAAACTCGGTTTCAAAGGGCTCGTTTTGTGTATCCATGTAAATAAACTCCTAGGTGACCTATTGCTTTTAAAATTTCGAATTTATATTCAAGTAGAGTAAGTAGTCTTAAGTTGGAACGTCTAAGCAGTTGATGTTTGGTTACTTCTGCATCCTTGATGAATGATTTCCCGTGACTACTAAAAACAGTTCATTACATGGTTTTAGTTACTTTTTTTCCGGGCCATATAGGTGATATGTTATTCTATTTTCCTAACTTTGTATTGTTTGTGTGATCTGCACAGATTTATTTTAATCTTGAAAATAACTGATTAGAAGTCACTGTTAATGTCTGTAGGTGTTAGCATCATATTATTTTTTTAAAATCATGTTATACCAATTTCAGACTGAAAGTCATCAGGGATGTGAAGCTTTTCTTTATTTCTATATCATTGTTTCCCACCGTTTTCTCTTGAATGTATACCTTCGGTTCAGATTCGAATATTCCAACTAGTCGTGGTAATAATATAGCTGAAAATCTATTTGTTAAATTTTTGAGCATCCCTAACCTGTTTCTTCGAAATGGTGAAAAGTTTACCTTTACATCGATGGAAATTTGTGGTACGTTAACTTCATTATCTTATCAACTTGTTGATGAACGTAATAAGTATGCAAATAGCTTCTTGACTGACTTTTTATGTTCTTGTTTGTTCATTTTATGTTGAATTATACTTTCTTGGTTGCGAATTTCTTGTAGATCACCAAACCATGAAGACATACGACCATCAACTCTCACTCAAATGAGTATGGATATTGGCCAAGGTTTAGCCTACTTACATAGTAAGCATTTAATTCATCGAGATATAGCATGTCGAAATTGTCTTGTTGCTGCAGATCGTACTGTGAAAATCGGAGATTTTGGTCTGACCAGACAAGCTGCTAAAAATACTTCAGAGGCTTATTATCGTTTCACAAGAAAGTGTAAGTTATCTTTGATATAATACATGTTAGTATTCCTTCTAACTAAAAAATACATCTTTTGTTTCAGTGTTTTGTTTCACCATTCTCACTACAATTCGAATATCTAGTATACGACTGTACAGCTTGATAATAAATTCTTTGAAAAGAAATCCGTTCAATGAACTTGGTGTTTTTAATATTTAAATTGGAACTGCATGCCTAGTAATGTTGATATTTTTGTATACTTGGGTAAATATTGACAACCACAACTCCAATTGGATGAACAATACTGGTTCAATCCTACCGGCCACCTAAGTAAGACATTGAAACTTGTACAGGAGCTTTTATTGATAGAGACCTTGGAAGAATTGAATTACATTCAAGTTTATTCAACTATATATCGATTAATTAAAAGATTATTAATTACAAAAATTTGTCAAACTGAGTAATCATCGCTTTGCACAAATTACAGTGAAGTTATACTATGGAAATGCCTTTGAATCAACTGGCTAGCTTCATCCTGAATAACTTAATACAATTCAAAATGAATTGATAGTTAACTTCATAAATATCATCTTGAATTGATATACGAATTCTGAGATCGATCTTACCAGATTATGTTTGATTTTGAGGATTTGGCATCCTCAACCGTATTTTCTGACGTTCAATCTTCATAACAACTACGCTTATTTCAACTGTTTTGCTATTCCTTGTTTTAATTTCATCTTGTAGTGCTGACCCATATTTGCGTCATACTCTATGTTTATTATAGCTAGCTGACTGACTCTCTAATTAAAAATTCATTGTATAAGTTAGTAAATTGTATGTCCATTGTCATCCCTATTCTAGATAGTAGTCATGTTTCTCCCAATCACTCATAGTTTGATTGAAAAAGTTACATCTGAATATATATCTGACAATATTTTTATCCCTATAATATAATAAGTGTTGGATTTTATTTTATATTTATGCTGTATTGGTCAGAAATGCAACTTTTCTTACATAACCTTTATTTTAACTTTGTTTCTCAAAATCTGGAGTCATATCCATTTGTTAATTTATGACATATAATTTGATATCTTTTGTACGGACTATTCATTATGTAAATTTCATGTTTCGAATTCTTACTACGTAATATTACTTATTATTGTTACTGTACTGTTAATTTTAGGTGAACTACCTATTCGTTGGATGTCACCTGAAGCTGTACAATTCGGTGTCTTTAGCATACAATCAGATATTTGGTCATTTGGCATAACATTATATGAAATTATTACTTTTGGTGTATTTCCTTATAATGGTCTTGGAGATGTAGAAGTTGTGGAACGTGTCAAACGTATGGAATTCAGTATTACTGAATTTTTACCACCTCAAGCATTAAATACCGTAGTGTATGTATATTTATATTTTTATGATAGTCAAATTTTATGTATGTGTATATTCTTTATTAGCAATTCGAATATAGGGTCAATTTAGCTAACAGACTTTGTCTAACTGTAAGGTAAACATATGAATTATTCACTTTGAGAACTAAAAATGCTATTTATAAGAGTTACGTAACTATCATGTTCGTTGGAATTATCATTATTTTTCTTTTGATGAGAAAAATTAAATTATTTGAAAGAAACAACGTTATGTGCATGAAATTCTTCACCCTTACAAACATAAAGGATCAAGTTTTAAAGCAAAAAGATTCAAGATCTTAATAAGTTTTTCTTCGTTTGTTATGGTTTACATCCCACTAAACTTACGTTATTATCATTACAATAATTATGTATTTTAAAAATTCCAAAATGCTATCGTCAGTTATTAAAGAAAAAAGTCATTGGATTCCAAACAGGAAGCAAATGAATACGAATAAATTGTATTTCAAAAATAAGGTGTTCTTCTTATCCATACATTGTTAGCGTAATTGGATGATCTGTTTGGTATACAGTCAACCAGAGGTGCATGTACTTATTTATATTCGATAATTTTGATGTTTGATTATATTTCCTTGAAAAAGTTTAAACCAGACTTCCAGGCAAAACGCTGGATTCACTTCCAATTCATTCGCTGAAATTTTACAAATACATTCCTCATTATTGTCTCACATTAACTCGGCGCTCAAATACTGGGAAACTTTTTGATCAAATTTAGTTGAAAGCTCTTATATACCTTTCAACTAGTTATTTAAATAAAGATTTTAGATATTGTGATGAGAATATCAAAGTAAGGGTTAAGTGCATAAAAATGTATTAAACTCATCTCACATATTACATTTGAGAAATATACATTTAATACACTACACTTTAAATAGTGTCAAGAAGTAAAGTAGAACTATTACATGGTTGCTACATCGTATTACCTATTCTCTATCACTATTACTCTGTCTCGTATAATACATTGTTGAATCCAATTCTCCTGTCTATACTGTTGCGTGTATTTTGTTTTCTCCAAATACTTACCTATTTCAATTTTTGTTTGTTTTAATCTTCCTCTAATCACACTATAACTCTATGCATTATGATTATTTTTGTTTTAAGGTGTGAATTGATTAATCATTGTTGTAAACATCAATGGCAACATAGACCATCATCAATGAATCAAGTGTTAGAAGTATTAATAGCGTATCCAGATTGCATTCGACCATTCCTTACTGATGATCCACCGAAACCAAATACAACAATCGATTCATTACCTGTATGTGAATAAAATTCGTTTTCACATTTTCAGTTTTGCATTTGAATAATTGTGTTAGTAGTATTAGTATGATGTGTAGATTGTCTAAGAGATTTCACCTAATTTACAAAAACAACTTTGCATTACAGTCTAATATGACCGTCTTGAGAATCACGCAAAACGGAAAGGAGAGCACAAATTAATTATCTGATCATAGTTTAGAACATCCCGGTGACTAAATCTTTTCGTACTCATTCCAAGACATAAAAACTAAGCGTTCACACTGCTCATAGACTGTCTATTGCCTCCTAGTTCTCTAAGTAGTATCGATGTGTGACTGAATTTTATTTTTTTTTTTTTAATTTTACCAAATTAAAATGTATCATAGTGTTTCTTTATTCTTCACTTAATATTAAAGAGAAAAATGGTTTATTTGGTGGTCGTGAAACAGGGTTTTTCATGAGTGACTAGCCTTAAAAGACGTAATACCTGACACAATTGTATCGATTCAAGTTGTCACACAATACCAGCATAGCGAGATGAGATTATTCAGATAAATACCAAAATCGAGATTTATCAAAGGCGTTGTATGGTCAAAAGTAAAAATTTTAAATGTCTTGATGATATTCATCTAAGTTCCATATTATAGCTGTAATTACTGTAAATGAATGACTTCGTCAATAATCGTCAAGACAAGGTTATTATATGAGGCCACTTCGTGTATCTCGATGTCCTCCTGTCTCAAAAATTGGTTTACCATAGTTGTAACAGTAATAACTTCATCAAACATGCGAATTGTTTATTCTTGTAGATAACTTTTTTTTCTCTGTTCAGTAGAATGTATAGAATTGATATAGACATTTTGTTTTATATTTGCACTTTTTTCTCATCAGTTTCAACCAACTGTGGACACTTGTATAATATCAGAATCTGCAATGACTGGTCTTGCTGTAATCGATAATGTTGGTGGTTTTCGTACAATACGTAGTGCTTCAACTGTAGCCGTCCCAATATCATCATGTTCACCTTCACCAGTGCCACTAAATCTTCCTGATGGTAATAGTGATAAATATTATGGATGTGAAAAACGTCTTAGTGAACAAACAAATCTACGTGATAGTGCACTCTCTAATCATCATACAATTTTTGATTGGTCTGATAACTATACTTCTCATCCGTATACAGATAGTTCAGTTCATTCAAAGTTGATTGATTTTTATCAACTTCCAATGTTTTCTGACAGACAAACCTTATTTCCTTCAGTAGTGACAGATGAAAGCAAAGAACTAAATATTATGTCTAAATCTGGCGAATCATCTAGTTTACCACCAGTGTTTAATAATTATACTACATCATTTGTCACATCTGTTTCTAATACTATTAATACATCTACTAATGTTTTATTCAATCTTTCAACAAGCCCTATTTCTACTACTCCTAGTTATCAGTCAATTGATGAAAGTAGTCAATTAATTATGAAATCTCCGGAACTAATAACTGATCAGTATACATATTCAACTGGAAACACTTTACACATTAGAAAACAAAAACGTTCAAATACTACGCATATAAACAATACAACATCGAATATTTCAGATGAATTGAATAATTTATTATCCGATAATCAACTTAAGTAAGTTTAACTGTGTAGATAAGTTTAATGTTATTCATGAAACACAATAGGTTAAGACTAACTATTCCTTACATCCCTATTGAACACCAACTCTACATGCATAGCATAATTTATTGGTATGCTACAATAAAAATCCAGGTGTTTTTGACTCACCCATACGTATAAAGGAAAAGTTTGGTCTTTTGTAAGAAAACTACTATTTCCGTAAAATGCAACATGATGCATTTAGTTCATATTTTTAGTCTGTAATTAACCCGGCGATACACAGAACAAAATAACGTTTTGGAAATTAAAGCAGCTACTAAATAAAAAGTATGGGTTCTTAGCTGATTAAGGAATCTCGACGTTCGACACTAAAAATTAAAATTCTAAAATACATTCATATTTTTTCGCTCATGCCTAGCAGACTATAAATGCGTTTATCTCTGAATCAGTTTGTTTTTCAATGCAACTAGTACAGGTGCCTAATGTTGAGATCATGTTTAATTTTTCTGGCTATTAGTATCGAAAATACATCCCCCTGCTGATGTTCACACCAGAACTAGAAACCAGTATTCTTCACTCCAAACGCTTAAGGCGTTTTCCAGATGGCCACTAATCCGTGCGACAGTATTATTTTAATAAAATTATTTGTAAGGTTTAAATTATGTTTTTCGGTATTGATGTCAAGTGAGATATACTGAATTTGAGTTCCATTGGGATGCATTCACATTATGCTATATCGATTGCGTGAGTGCGTGTACTGCCCAGTTAATATATACGGTTGAGTGCGTTTGTGTGTACGTGCCCTGTTTAATATATATGAACGTGCTGATTCTCGTCAATCAGAGAGCATTGATTTTATCGATCGGATCCAATGATACACAAAAGCCGTATGAGCAGTCTTGAGTACTTATCAGTTCTGCTTTCTGCCTAGCCCAACCAGTTAAGCCCAGGATACCAATAACAACTTCTGCAATATGAATCATTATTCTCAAACATACTGGGTTCATATATCAATCAAACAGACCACATCGTACCATAAAATAGAAAATAACATTTGTACAAGATTTGGCCAAATGTGGCTGTGAATAGGGGGAACAGTAATAAATAGACTGAGGATAACTCAAGAACGGTAAATCGTACAGTAATGGTCTATGGGTCAAAATGAAGCTTATAATAAAAGGGACACGAATATGGGTACTTCAGTTACTTGACAATTATAGAATAAGAAATATACATATCATATTTGTCCACAAATAGTTCTCAAAGTTACCATTCATAAATCTCCACGGGATTTGACAGATTACAAGTTCCAAGTCAGACAAAATCCCTGTCTTGAATCTCACCCCTAGCCATAATTCATCTATTTTATAAAGCTTGTTACTAAATAACTCAAGCCAACCCGTACAGGATGCACATATCCCAACAAAGGCCTTAAAAGTATTAGTCGAGTTGATTGTCAAACATTATTTACAGTGTTATATCTTGTAGGTTGTAGTTTTTCCCCGTCGCCACTGTTATATCTTGTAGGTTGAACGCTATATTCAGATCCTAAGCTATTCTGATAACCCCAGGCTAGAACTATTCAACGACTTGAAGACCAGAGAGAAGACACGAGTATGAGAGAAGTACTTGACTACAAGGTTCATTTATGTACAGAAAATACAGGGGTTTTATAGTAATTAAGAGACCTTGAGTTTCCATAGTAGCAGTGTGTTAAACAGCCAATTAGGATCTCTTTATTTTAGTAGCATAGCTTCTAATTAATCGCTGATTGGTTGGGGCTCTTTATGAGCCTCTGGAGGCTCTGATAGAGTTTACTGTAAGCCGACTTAGCATACAGAATTCCACTAGTTCCCGTCAATCCATTCATACTTCTTCGCCGTAAATTAGTCATTTACGCTGCTAGTCAGGAAAGAGCAGATACATCGTTTTCTAGTATTGTAGTTTAGAAATTATTTTCACCTACTGACGTCAGTACTAATCAGTTTTTTGTGAGTTAACTTATCCTTTCTTTGATAGATCTTCCTTCGCAATTTCTTCGCTAAATTATTTAGTCTTTTCGAGAAACACAACTACCACCTACTGTCCTCAACTCAAGTTTATTTTTCTTTAGTAAATTAAGAATCTAGGTGAAGTGTGTATGTATTCAGTTTCCAGCACCTTTTAAACGTTCATGGTTTGAATATGGTTATTAACAAGTAGTATAGATGAAACCAACATGTTCTACTAATGGGTAATTAGTTGTTACTTCTTTAATTTCATCTTCAAAGGGATATTGTGAGACATAGTTAGTCTGACTGAAGTTTTTCACATTTCAGTATGTCATCTTCAAGATGTGTTAGTGCGTTATATTTGAGTATCTATGTGTAAACCACTTTCCTAATGTCATTTTACAATTCGTTCTTTTAAAATATATCGAATCTTTCTAAAATAGTGTATAGTATTTTAATTACATGTTCAAATTCAATAATTACGTGTTTAAGATCTTCAATAAAGATGTTATTGTTTTCAAACAATTATACTCGGACGACTGTTCTGAACCAAAGTTATAATAAACTTATTTTACAACGTTCAAGGTTTTTCAATCTTACTTCCTTCGAAATACCTCCGATTTATGACAAGACATTACCAAATAGCTGTATTTATACCACTCATGTAGTTGCAATTGTGCAAAATAGCAATGGGCCCTGTTTTTTGCGTTTTTAAATCCATTGGCGTCTTTTCTTTGACCCAAAGTCTGTGCTTATTATTTACTTTTTTATTTAAACACATATATATTGGTACAAAAGGGCACCAGGTACATATGCACCACACAAAATAATTTGTGTGTGGGCTGTGATACTGCCCGGGTGCCCAAACCGAAGCAGGTGGTTTTCTTAGGGGGCCACACCCCGAACCTTTGACCAAAAAGTCTGATCCACAAGGCAGTGGAGCATCGTGAGGAGATGCAGTCCCATGGTAGCCGTTGACCTATGACAGGTTCGTCCGCCATTCGTTCCATCAGGATACTAGAGCCCATGTGCACCATTGGTTTGGAATCAGGGTTTTCCAACTCCCCTTGGTGGACTCTCCGTGTCCACCAACCCGGTTAAAGCGCCGGACATTCGCTTTTCGTCCTCTCACTTTTTCAAACAACACCCCCGCCACGAGAAGGCAGTGAGTAGGACTTCCCTGGTAGAGGCTATATATTCGCTGGCCATGTGAGAGCATTTCGAGAGGGAGAGTAGACTCCCCCAAATGCCCTGGTACGGCCGAGAGTGGGGAGAGTCACCTGGGCAGCATCACAGCCCTCACACAAATCGAATGAGATTTGTGAGGCGCATATTTATCTGGTGCTTCATTGTACCAATGTTTATGTGTTTAAATAAATAATAAAAAATACTCCCCACTCTCGGCCTTACCAGGGCATTTGGAGGCTTACACTATGTATTATTTTTATTTGACTTACTGTCTTATTTCTATAGATCTGATTTTAAAATGTTTATGTCGTGAATTTATTAAAGCATTGTCCTCGATTTTTTTAAACACTTACAACACATTTTTTTAAATTTTGAGGCCTGTTTATGTCTGAGTGCATTCATATTTCTTACTTTTAACAGGTTATCTTTAGATGCCGATTCGATTATGAATATCGAGGAATCCGATAGATCTCATATGTTGATAACTGAGGATAAAAATTCAGACAAGCAATTTTTTATTGTTCCCAGGAACGAATCTCATATGTTTAATGTTTCTAGTATACCTCGAAATCCCATTCAAACATGGAATATTAATCGCTTGCGACCGACTCGTTCTTTGATCAATCTAACTTCTGTACGTTATCCCAAACACTATTTACAAAATAATATTAAATCTGAACACTATGCTTCAGTTGATCATTTCAGTTCGATTACAAAACAAAGTGATATTCATGGTTCAGATTTAACTTTACCTCCTAGTCTATTTACTTTCATTTCTGATTCATTTCTTTCCGGTAGAAAGACCGTTTAGATTCCATTTCATTTTTACTGTGATACTGTTAATGATATGCTCTATCAATCCGGTAGTTATATTTACACCACTCATGTATTTGCATTTAAACAAACTAACCATGAAATTTATTTGTTTTTACGTTATTCAATCTATGTGAATCAACGTCTATCCATCCTGTTATAGTGTAGTAGAACTATAATCAAGTTTCTGTATTCCCATTCATTCCTGAATATTAATTTTTATCTTTTCAGTTGATTTGTACAGTAAATATACAACCGTTGATCATCAACTGCAATTTATTTTCATGGGATCTCGTTATTTCTCTTCGATCTTGTTTTCTTTCATTATTATTATTATTGTTACTTTATTATGATTATGATTATTACTATTATTACTGAACTTTACGGTTGAATGCACAGTAGCATATTGTTGTAAATGTTTCTCTCTTTATTTGCTAACCTAGTCATATCGACTAATTTTGTTTAATAGTTTTATTCTTTAATGCTACAAATTTTTTTACGAAGTGCAAATTCACTTCTAAACACAAATAAATAAGAATCGTATAGAGTGTTTATTGTGATTGTTAGTATGATTACATAATTACATAACTTGTCTTAGATTATTACATTGTGTACATTATTCTATTATGTATAGACATTTTTGTTCTTTAGGATAAATGACTAGTTCATTTCAAAGTATAAAAGTCTTATTTCTCCTTATTTCTTGTTGAAGTTCATTGTTTATTCTCTCATATATGTTACTTTATTTGTTTGTTTGTATTTTACAGTCATCATCAGTTAACTTGTTTATAACAGAAAACTAAAGTATACTGTACATTGTCACATGTGTGTTTGTATAATCAATTTTTATATCTCATGTTATGTATTGTTATTTTTAATAACCATAATACATTCAAAAATTCTAAACTATCTTTTCGACTCTACTTATTTACTTTGAGATTGATATTATTAGATAATTGATTTGGTACAACATTTTATTTGTTTAGTTTTGAACACTAAGGAATAAATAGAGTTAATTCAAATAGACTGATAATTAATTTCCAATAAGATTTCTTCTTCGGGTCTATTTACAGCTTGATGACTGACTTCCAGCGACGATAACTGTTCCTATCATTGGAATATCTGTAATTATCTTCAGTGGATGACTTTTAGTAGAGAAATGGTGCGTGTTCCAAATGCGGCTCACCATTTTTGAGGGCCTAAATCTGGCTCCAACTGAGATCGTATGAATGATTGTTGTCAAAATATACATCCTGTCTATCCTCGTATGTAATACATAACTTAATCCTCATTGATGAATAACAGAGTTAAATAAGTCAAATGCGAGAATGGATTTCGAATACATATATTTTGTACATTCATTGATCTGGACAGGAAATCAGAGAGGTGGAAGCGAAAATGACACGCATTGGAGATGGCGGGTAAGCCAACTCGCTTTTATCAAGCGTTAATCAATATTTATAATCAGCTAAAAATGAATTACAGACATTTGATGAATAAGATAAGAACTGTACACACACATGGGCTCATATAAAGACAGTCAGGGTTGATAAGTGATTAATTAACAAGGTCAAAACGTGACTCATGATGGATAGGTAAATTGACTTATCCAGAAGCTAGAATAAGAGTATATTGGCCTAATATATCAACCTTTATTACGGGCTCACTTTTCTGTCAACCGTGTTCAATCTCCTTTTTCCCTGTGGATTTGGTTGTTGTGTCTTATCCAGGTTCCCAACGATATTTTCCAAGGTATGAATTGACGACTACTTTATCTCCCACCTTAAAACTTATTCTGATTTTGATTGCATATATCCACTGGCTTAGGTAGCAACACAGCGTCAAATATAGTTCGAATACTTCTTCCAAACATAGCCTCAGCAGAGGACTTACCATCTGCTACAATATGGTTGGGTGCAGTTCTATGAGCTGTCAATAATTTCGTAACTGCCTGACTTGTCCACCCATATTCTTTCAGTAATGCTATTTTAGATGTTTTAATAAAGTGCTTTGCCTGTCCATTTGATTGAAGGTGATACAATGAAGAGCGTATTTGTGTAATTACATTAGTTCTACTGAATGATTCTCAAGTGAATTGTGAGCCAGTGTCGGTCACCATGATCTCTGGAACTCCAAAACAGCTAAATAATACAGATAGCTTGCTGTGCAGTTTTTCATGGCATATGTTTGCGGTCATTTTGTAGGTGCATTCACCATGACTAAAAACACTTTTCCTCTTACTGACTCAGTAAAATCTGCATACAGTCTCTCCCAAGGACTACTAGGCTGTCTTCGTTGTTGTGATTCACACGTCTTCGGACTTTTGGGTGATTGCAAGCACGACGAACAATTGTGACTTTTGATGGAGTTTTGTTCTCTTAGCTGAATGATTTAGTCGTGGAGCTTTCATCGTCCTTCTGATCGAGATCATCAGCACAAACTTCGAGCTAAAAATATCCAACGGTTGTGTTATTTAGTTTCGATTTCTTGATCCATTGTAGGCCAGTAAGCATGGCTACTAGCCAACGATTTCATCTTATTGATGCCGGAATAGCCGCTGTAGAAGTGTTTCGAAACCCTTTTGGACGATGTTTTTGGAACAACAATTCTATCATCGAATATAAAACATGAATCGACAATCATGAGCGAGTTCTACCGGCGGAATTACTGTATCAGTTCTTCTTGAAAACGACGCTTCGGCCACTTGGTGAGAAGACATCTCCTCATAATGTCTTGTCATCTACCATAGCTTCTTCAATAGCTTTGACAGCAACTGGTAGACCATCCGCTGCGTCTTCCAACACGCGGTGTACTTTTGATCCACCTCAATTTCTGCCACTAAAGTATCTTCACTTTTCATTTGTCAGCCGAACAGTCTAGAAAAGGTGTCAGTTTGTCCGAAATCAGTCTTGAAATCATAACCCAAGAGTTTGGTTCCCCATTGTCGTAGTGTGTTTGCTTCATATACCGGAACACCATTTTATGTCGTTATAATAATACCCCCACCTAATTTATCTCTTCCACATTCGTTGTACTGATGCTGCAGATCAAGTTTATGGGGCGGTCTGTTAACCTCAGCTTCTCCAATCAAGTCCCAATAATTCCGTAGTTGGATTTTCTGCCAGCAATATTACTCCCCTCTTGGTTATTTCATTGACTGTGACTTCACAATGTATCGCATTATCAATGTTTAACATTCCTCCGGATGCACTGTGATGATTGTTGGGATAGATATATTCGCGGTCTCCCGATCTCCTACACTCTTCTGATTATAAGTGTCATGTCGAAGCAGTGTCCTGCTGTAAGCGGACATCGTCTTTGTTAATTTTGAGAGAAACGTATTTTATGCAGTTATGGAAGCTGGTTCTTTCTGTGAGAGCTATTGTTCTTTTGGCTTTTAGCGACTTAAATATTTTAGAATGTACTTTCGGTTATTAATGGCGTTATCAGGTTTCAAAGTGACTTTATATATGCATTTTTCTAAAACATGTAGTACAACGATGATATTAAAACGGAAAAAGCCTTTTGAAATGTCAGCCTTCACATAACCGACATGGGGATGATGGGTTGCTGTTGCCAATACTATAATTTTGCGTGCTGGAACCTCGTAAGTATTTTCTCTTAACTGCGTTGACGTGATAAAGTCAGCTATCGTTTTCTACAATTGACGAATTATGTTATAAGTTCAAAAATCGTCAGCACTCGCTAGTAACTACCTAGAGGGTTAGTGCCGGAACCCTGTCAAGTTTGCTTAGGATTCTCGTTCGGATATCAGCATCCTCGGGTGAGTGCAGGCCACACACAAACGCAAATAATTTTAACTGGTCTTTCGTCTTGGGAGACAAGTTGAACTTCTAACATTCCTGACTCACGATTCCTGAATGTTTCATCCAGTCATCTGGATTTTTCTTCAAGCATTGGTAATGGATATTAAAACGAAAAGACTGCTCTCCGAACATTTGAGACAGATCTTCATATTTCTAGAATCATGTGTCAAAAGAAACACCCACTACACCGTAATAAGTTAACTCATGGATAGTATTAGTGACTGAATTGTTGTGCGTCACTTGTTGTTCACAAAAGGCTGTGTTTAGCTGGTATAAGCACATTTTCCACATATGGGCTACCATGATTCTTATTAACGACTGTTCAAACACTTTCTCTGACGCTCTATATATGCTTATAGTTGTTGAAAAAATGTTCATTGTAGTTTTCGCCGTCACGAGTGATAAATCTGCTGACTGGACGATTGTACCAGTTTCCTGAGCTCTTCTTAGGCTAACTCTACACAACAACCTGAACACGAGAGGAAAGGCGGGAAATATGAAAACAACCCTTTAACCCAATGTCAGTTTATGTACAGAAAATGTAGGGAAGTTATAAGATTTTAGCTTGTCTTGAGCTTCTGAAACGCTACTAAACATAGAAGTAGGATGTATGATCATGCAATCAGAAATGCGACACATATGACTTTTCACTTTTTAGATGTTTCTGTGAGACTACTATTAAGTACTAATTAAGTAAAATGTTTTTTCATAGAGTTTTCAGGGTCTGTTTGAGCTTTGATCGAAGAATTCCTCGGGTCTCCTTAGCAATTTCATCCGATTTTTTCACAAGCACATCAGTTGTATTAAGTCGTATTACTGGAATATGTATGGTGAATTAAATATTTCCAAATTAGTACAACATTATTTTGTCCTTAGTTAGTTGCAACTAACTAACTACTACAGATTCTAGTGCATTAGGGTATCGAAACAGTTACATAAAGCTGTTATCAAAGAGCAGATCATTTGTGATATCCCAATAAATTGTTAAATTTATTAACAGTCTGTATAGTTATATTTCTTCCGGGGCACGTACACGCCATTTTTACAGGCAAGATCTATGAATTCCAATGCTTCTTCAATGATGTACCATAAATGCATAAAAAAGAGATAAATAGCATTAATTCTCAAACAACAGTGCGGAAAAGGATACAAAATGGTACAGAGGCAATGCTATCAAATTATTCATAGGTACGAAATATATATCAACCGTACTTTATCCATTAGCTGTATCGACCACTTATAACGACATCTAGTATAATCAGAATATAGGACACTAAACGACTAGGTCGTGAATAATATAAACTGATTACGAAGATGGAAAAAGTGTTATTTTCATGCAAGGAACAATATTTCACATGCAAAATGAAGGATAGACTATAAATAAATGTAATATATTTGTAATATCTCAATGAGTTGAAAAGATTGAATTTTCTACACATCAGGGTATTACAAATATATTATTTCCATTCATATCAATTTACCCAATACTCAATTTACTTGAAATTATCAAGTCAAACCTTGGTAATGATGCCTACAAAGGATAGAGTAATTTAATTGCCTCCAAAAATGAGAAACAAAACTATGATATAGTGAGTATATAAGAATTGAAAGGATCATGCAACTAATTTTCAGTTAACATCAATTATCTTTCCTAAAAATCAGAAAACGCGTCTCTTTTTTAGTACGATAAAATCAATCCACATGAGAGCAATCAGAGAATAGTAATTCAATACGCTAAACAAAAAAAATTATGTTATGCGAAACACGGATGAAACAGTCATTAAAAATCTCTACGACATTGTACATTTGGTCATTTTAAGAATTTGTAAACAATATAACCACAAACAAACCAGAATAAATGAGTATGATGTAGGTGAATACAGCGAGCGATGGAAGTAGCTTTGTGTGCAGAGGGAACCGAGTAAACGAACGTATGGGGGTTTTCCACGTATATATACAACAAAGATCTCACTATTGTTATCGTTTAAACATATGTTGGAGTTTATTTTTGTTCGCTTCTAATCACAAACAGAACGTAGCCACTTCGTGACTGGTGTATAGGAGTGCTTGTGTGTATACTTATAAACGTGATGTATGCAATTTATTTGGCAGATTTTTTGAAAGTACTTTGTAAACAATCTTTGAATACCAGAACACAAAATAACTGTTGAAACACATCCTTCATTAAACAAATTGTGTAAACCAAATAACTTCTCTGGAACCTTGAATTTCGGAAAACCAAAGAGAAGAATCTATAGCTCTAGGGCAATGTCTCTTTATCCCTATCCGAAAATCTCAGAATGGGAACTTAGTCGTTGGATGGAATAATTCAGTCAAACGTCTTCGCATTCTCACAGGTCATATTTATAAACATTCCACAAAATTTGTTTATGTTTTACACTGCTTCACTCGCTTGTTAGCATGTTGTTTATTCCTTAATATTTCAACTCATAAAACCGGTCGCTTAGTGTAAAATCCTGTCCTAACTGAGCGGTTCAAGTCACTAAATGATTAAAAGTCGAATGCTGTCATAGAACATCAAATTTTAAGACTTCTTTTCGAGATCAGGTGTGCAATTTAATCTGACCTTCAACGTCCACACAGTTATTCAGATTTAACAATACGTTAGATTGTTCATGTTTTTCGAAAGCATTGACATCGCTGTATGTTACATAACTAGTACCGTTATTCAAGACTAATGAATTACTACAAATTCACTCTCCATCTGTTGCCTTGAGAAGCTTGTTTCACACGAATTTATCCATGGACCTTTTGGCATTTCCACTTGATTTTGCTGGTTTTGGTGTCAGACCAAGCGGTAAGGCTCGGTCGAACTCGCAGATTCAATAAGCGTTGGGCCAATATGCATCGACTTTCTACGGGCCCCTTACAAGTCGCCAAAACGCGTCTGACTATTCAGGATGACAGCTTGTTTGACCACAAACGGAAACAGTAAAGTAGTTCAGTCCTCCAGTTCCAGTCAAAACCAAAAGTTTTCATGGTCAGAGAGCGCTAACTAGTTCGATCCAGTTGCTGAATTAAGAATGCCAGACGTCCATGTTTAGAATTATAGCTAAGGTTTTTACTAAGAACAAAATGCTAAGGACGAAATACTATTCAGACATATGGATGCCTGAATTTCGGGTAAAAGTCCAAGACCTTCCATTTTAATCCGAATGGTTTTTTAATATATTGTAGTTTCTTTTTTAACTCTTGAAGCGCCACGAATCACCAGGCACGTGCTACACACCCTCATCATTTTTGAAGAGTAACGATGACTTTCTGGTTAATGAAGGGACTGAGCTGTTTCCAAAAGCTTGGGAATGAGAAAGAGTTCCGATATATTGATTCGATATTCGTCTCTACGTTAAAATAGATGTACTTCACCTGAACAATAATTATATAGAGATATGACTACAGCTGTCCATGTCCGAATTATTGACTTTCATCAAACATCATATACTAGTCAAAACACGAGAAACATTGACTTGCGAGGAGCAGGCTGCTCTCCATTCTGGTCGTAAGAGTTTTCATCACATATTCACCCTCCCCCAGAAGCTAGAGAAGTACTACAACTGTTGCAGGCCAGCAATCGTGAAGTGCTCCTTAAAATCAAAGTCACTCCAATTCATTGGACAAAACTGTACAATAGGAATTTCTATCGAAGAAGATTGACCACGTGAAGTTTAACAACATAATAAAGCCTTATATGATAACGCCTGGAGTAAAGTGAGAGAAAACAACCACCTCTCACCGCTAATTTATTCAAAAAGTGTAATTAGGTTTATTAATTAGCAAAGACTGAAAGAAAGACAATAATGATAGTCTGTTCTTACACTTTACATGATACCACATATTCCCAAAATAATAGACAGCATGCTTCAGTTGTCTCTAGGACTCATATGTTAAAGCTCGTAACTCGTTACAGCAAGCAACTTGCCAAACTTGATTACCAATTTATTTCGATGAACTAGCTTACTCCATGATTTATGAAAATGCGCGATACGATTTTATCTGAAGTTACTCATGCTAAATACACTGAGATAGCATATCTCTACTCATAAAAACATTTTGTACATTCCGTTTTATTATAGGGATGCAACAATCGTCCGTAAATCTTACGGTTCAAAGTTTGAAAACTTATTCACGATTTGGAGCATAGTTACGTTTTTCAAGACAAATCAACCACTTTTGACTTTGACACTTTTGGGTGTAACTTGTAGTGTTTGATTTTAAGCATAAAATTGACAATCTTATCCAAAAATATATACTTGTATACGGGTTGAGCATGTGTTATTGAAAAATAATTTTTGTAAGAAATGAAGATTTGACCAAAGCATATTGAGCAATCAAAGCTTGAATGTGAAAAGACTGATGAAATGAGAAAGTGATATCAACATACGAAACACAACCGCACCTTCCATTATCCCAGTTACACCATGTTCAAAGAAGTTTTTCAAAACTACAAATGTTTATGACGCCGTTCATGTGGTATACTAATGACACTGAGTAGGGGGATAATATTATATCAATGTGCGGCGATATATAGGACATTCATTCTTCATTTAGCCAGTTGAGAATCACCACATGTACATATTGACATGTGCTTTGCACACTCCAAGTGTCAGGTACATTGACAAGACTAACAGGATCTTTGTTTGCACTCAATCCTGATGGTGAGCATTTAAAGCGACTGACCAGTTCGTGTACCTGTTTATGTGGCGTCTTTAGTGATAGTTTCATCACCCATGAAGTACGAGCCAGAGTTGCTTATCCCAACCTGAAGGCATCTGCAAAGTCATAGTGCTGTTAACCTGGCCGTAAAACCCTGTGTTCAAAACTCATTGGTGTGTGCTTAGGTTCGACAACGTGTGTTAAAGTATGAAGACGACAGTTCAACCGGTATCACCATCTAGATAAACCGACTAACGTATTTGTCGAATGTCCTACAAATGTTGCCCCATTGAGTTGCATACCGTGAATTATGTACCGACCCTCAGACTGATTGGATAAAATGAAGAGCTATTCAATGTATGACATAATGTCGTACTCAGAAGGAAAACTGTACGAGTCAAGATTCTTTCAGTCCCTTACGATTTACTAGTCGGAGTCCTAGAGACGTCTTCAGGCAAGTGTCAGAACGGAATTCAACTGCGTTCCCACTGTGATTTTCATTTACTTTCTTCTCATAAATATGAAGAACCTCTTTTACTGAAAGATTTTTTTTCTGGCTTTATATTTTCTTGACCGAAATTCTTTTACGACTTTGTGCTTTTTCACTGTCTTAAACTATTCTTCCCCGTTTTCAAACATTCTCTCTTTTTTTCTCTATCGCCTTACAATGCCATTTTCATTTTACGGCACAAACCTATATTTCGATACATCTTTGTATTAAGGAATATATTCAAATAAATAAAAAAGTAAGAACACAGTGCCGTATATAATCTATGATAACTATTCAGTTTATATTATTAGTTTCAACCATTTACTTTTGGCACAGATTTTAAATAGTGCGTTACCCTGAAGTACGAACTCCGTGACCATCTTTGTATTTGGCTTCGCTTTAAACGTTGTCGTTGTGCATGTTTCTATATCTTAGACTGTGTTAAACTACTTGCACCCACACAATTTGTTATTATATCCCTAATAATTTGTTGGATAACGTGTTTGCATTTACTTTGATCTTCTAGTAGACTTCACCAAGATTCTAAATTTCTGCTTATAAACGTCAACACATTCCTGTACATTCTCTTCGTCCTGACCCATCTTTCAAGCCAGTAAGAACTGGTCAGTGGCAAATGGATACGTGTAAGTCACATATTTATTTCCTTTCTGATCCAATCGTTAATTATCAATAAAACTAAACATGTATTTATGCCCTATGGACATTCAAATTACGCCATCTGACGGTCTGTGAAACGTTACTCGTGTCGTCTCTCAATTACAGCCAACTAGGAGTCATAACGAGCCGTAGCTTGATAAACATAACTCTACCACAAGTTTTATATCAGTATGGAGGTTGAGGAAATCCTCTGGATTCCTTACAGTGAACAACTGGGAAAGCTAAATGTCTTCATATTTATATACCGGTGGTGAAGAGGTGGCTTATTTGTAATGTTTTGGACAGTGACATGTCACTGTGGATCATAGTTAATTCTTCCGGCCATGTTGGAATAACTGAAATCGCAAATTAAGTGGGTTGTAAAGCCAAGAATGACCCGAGTCTCCTTGAAGTGCAATTAGTCAATACCTAAATTCCTGATACCTAAAGGGTATTTATATCTTACCTTGATGCTTCCAAGAGACGACTAGACTGCTATAGGTTACTAAATATAGAATAATACGGACATCTAGCCTTCTGTCCTATACAACGATTCATCCTCAACTCGCAGTTGATCGACTGTGTGTTCAGTCATCTTATAAACACCATTTGAGTGTTGTTGTTCAGCTTTCACTTCAATCATTTTGTGTTCAGGTTAATATCATTCACGCGATATACTGCAAATCAAGGGTTACACTTAAATTACCAGTGATCACCAACATTGTAATAGGCGAGAATGTTATCAAATGTGGTGACTTTCATAACTACTCCATTTTGGTTATTTTGTTTAAACATTATTTATCATTAAAACTGGTGAAATTGTCCCACTTAAAGTTCGAAGTTACTCATTGTACCTCCATGAATTAACATTATTGGTAGTATCGAAACCCTTCACTGTGTCTGTTGCGTAACAATCTTAGCATTAAATAATATTTGTGTAAGGTATGACTGTACTTACTGCATTATGCAACGTAGTTTAATTATTCCACCCTCAGCCAGTAGACCATAAAGGCGAAACTAAAGAACATGGACGAGCCAATCAGAAGCTTTCGCGTGTTTTAAAGGTCACGGCGCTAAGTTCGGTACCTGACGCTTACGTACGGTCGGCTTACAACGGATTTTAGAGAAAACAATATAATTAAGCGTCTACAAGATAAGTTATCATGAGATTTTGGCGCAAAATTCAATTATACATTTGAATAGAGTTGTGGCATTATAGCTGATGTCAGTTCGTGATGAAAACCCTAAGTATAATTCCTAACCTTAACCATGAACTGTAAATCATAATTTGAATTCCTCACACGGGTTTATAACCCTCATTTAGTCTTAGTTATTACGTTGACACTCTCAGATTCACTCTAGCGTCGCTCAAATGTCGTCCATAATTTATAGTCTCATCTTTAACCTTAAACCGTAACCCTAAACCTTAACCCTAATCCTAAACCCTAAACTATACCAACATACCGACAACACTGAAACTATGTGGTCTAGGCTGAAAGAATTTTCGGGACTTTATCATGGTTCCAGAGGTCGACTACTATGGAGCCACAGGGATGAGTTCTTGTGCCGGATGCACTATGATTTTAGAACTTCTGAACCTATGTCTAACCTTGATAAGTTTTTGAGCCATGTAAAAGAACAGTATCCGCTTTGATCTTTTAGTTTTGTATAATATATTTTTACTGTATACTGTCTTCTGATTGGCTAATATTTCTCAAGGTCATTTAAGATTCGTTCAAAGGTCGTCCATGTTCTTTAGTCTCGCCACCATAAATTTAAATTTAGTACCATTGGCTTGGTATGTCATTCTGGTTAGTTACCAGGTGACGTTCATGCCATCTTGATGGCTCATACTATTCCCTGTGCTCCTTATATAAATTGTTACTGCATGCACCACTTGGTAACTTTTTTGGAATTTTCTTTTAATGTAGTTAAAGATATTATTTATTGGAGTGAACCAATCAAGTCGGGTATTGTTTCAGCTGTTGGGTTGACATTTTTGTTAAGTTTATCCTGCATGTCATTTATTTCCGTCGTTGCTTACGCTGGACTTGCCTTATTTTGCTGCACAGCAGCTTGCAAACTGTATAATGTCGTTATTGGTTCAAGTAAACGGGAAACGCCAAACAGTTCAAATAATTCATTTCAGTATGTTCACAATCTTTTTAGCCATAGACTGTCTAATATTTCAGTGCATTTTTATTGACATATATATTACATCCACCTGGTTACATTGGAAACTTTCGTAAAAGGGGAAATGTAGATAAAGCTCCGTGATTTTGTTCTATTATTTGTGTACAATTTTACTGTTGGAGTCCCAAAAATTCTTCCATAAAGTACGCGAAATACAAAAAATACCCCCGTCGACCAGCATTCAGTAGCAACTATCCAAAAACATGTAAAAGAAAATGCCAAGGATTATTTGTCACAACTTGGTTATATGGTCACATATTATGTTAATAAACAATATACATCCACAAATCTCTTTTCCTTTATTATTTAGAGCTCGAGTCTAGAGGTATTTTGAAAATCTAGGGATCTAGTGTCAAACTCTCAAGTGTTAGACATTTCGCTAGTCGCAGTTAGAAACCTGAGTTGTTCTAAAATGTCTAGGATTCCAAGTTGGTCAACAGGAAACAGGGTAAATGATGACTGATTAATACAACCATAGAAACCTTCATTAAATTTGCCAAGGAAATTTCTATTTCTCGAACCAAAACCTATGTTAAGTGCTCTAATTATATAGATTCATAATTATACAACAATCACATGTCTTTGAGGATTTATCTGGGGCGCTTTATTCCCCAAGCTCCCATTATATCCGTTAAAATATGAACATAGTTCTGTTTCGACCATTCGTGGTTTATGTTTACTTGAACTTTCATCCATTATTTGCAACTTTTATACACAACACAACCCTACTTTAACAATTCCCTTTTTTGACATATCTACTTTCAGTTCATGGCTTGAATATGATATTCTATTGTCTGAAGATAAAATTGCCCAGCGTGTTGGAGCTGCATCTGAACAGTTATCTGAAAAGTTGAATCAATTACGTCGTATGTTATTGATGCAAGATTATTTTGAAACTGCCAAGGTAAATTTGTTTTACTGTTTATCTTCATAATGCCACCGCAACATAAAGGTTAACCTTTTTTCCAGTGGTCCGAACTGTTATATCCTCAAATTTTTTCCATCATTACTATTCTTATTTATTTGAACACATAAATATTGGTACAAAGGGGTACCAGATATATATGCGTAACACAATAACAATGAGAATGTGAAAAGATAGAGAATGCAAAGTGCGTATAAGGAAAGGGAGAACAATAACGGACAGAAATTAGTGTATGATAGTGAAATAATAATAATGGGAGAAGCAGTTCAATTGGCAAAGGTACAATCAGAAAGAATTCTTCCAGGTAAAGAAGAATTCTACCAAATTCTAATCTTCTTAATTCCTCATGTCCCTATCCTTTTTCTCTTTCCAAATTTATTTCACTGTATTATACTCCTTCAATAACATCTTCAAACCCTAATCTTTCCGATTACTGCTTATACTCTTACTACTTCTACCACTATGGAATTTGAATCGACAACTGCATCTCTGTGCTAATGTGGTATGGCAACTCGAACTGATGTACGTACGTACGAATTTCTACATTGTGACTGACTGACTGACTTCCAGTTAAAGAAGATACGTCCATTTTTTATGAAGAAGGTAAAATAAAGTTACAACAGGATCACCACTGGTTTCTATTCTGAACCATATCTGATAACGTCTCTAGCCACTGTGTTGCACTATCTCTAGGACCACAACCACTGAGTCGGGAAGGACCACCAGAACCCAGTCCTGTACAGTTTTCTTCCATACCACAACACCATGTCATACACTGACCACCTCTGCTTTTTCCAACCAGTCCCAGGGTCGGCAAATAATGCACGACGTGAGATTCTCTGGGACGACATTCGTAGAACATGTCCAAGCCACCCCGCTCGATGTTTCAAGATAATGAAACCAATTGAATTATCGTCCCTGCGCCCGAACTCACAATGCCGAACCTCTGTATTACTAACACGGTGTTGCCGCTGGATGTCAGCAATACTTCGGAGACAACAATGATCAAACATAGAGAGTCGTCTAACATTCTCAACTCAGAGAGCCCAGGTTTCACAAGCATAGAGCAAAAATGCTCTTACTGACGCGTTATAGATCCGACCTTTTATAGCCAGACTAACATCACGAAGGCGCCATAAATGGCCCAGATTGGCATTAGCTGCTCTGTCTTTCATTATACGTTAATTGATGTCATCACCCACGCCACCACCAGAACTTATGCAGCTACCTAGATACACGAACTCCTCGATTATTATTATTATTATAATCACTATTACTCACTTTCATATTATGACTTGTGGTTTTATTCGTACTGTTCTTGTTAATTTTCTAAGCAACTTTCATTGCTTGGGCATAGACTGGGAGCATAGCTAGTCATACTGTCTTATTAGTGATATTTCGAAACCTACATATTTTAACTGTTTTATTATTTTATCGATAGGACTTTTAGTAACTGTACAAAGTAGTTTATAAAGACACGTTTTACCCGTCTTTCACTGTATACAGTTTGGTTCGTTTGTATTGAAGGAAGACTAAAAGTTAACAGCTGAAGGTCACCAAACCCATGTGAAATACATGAATATATATCAACTTATCAAACACTACGTCAATTCAACCCTAGATAGGCTTATTTACCAGACTGCGAACTATACCTATTTCACAGGTAGGTTAATAGACCTGTTTCAACAGCCCTCGCTATATGGAACAGGTTTCTGAAATGTAACTAACTTTATCTATTCCCTAAACCACGAAACAACAGTTCGATTTGTTTCTGCTGCCGTTATTGGAGTGACTAGTGTATTTTCTACGATGGATTTCATTCGAATACCATCATTTATAAATGTGACCTGCATAACTCTCAGCACTTTGACAATTTAAGTATCAAAATAACACTTCTTAGGTGTGATCATCAAATAACACTTCACGCTTAAAAGGAGTTTTATATCTGAGTCTTTATTGCCGCGTGACTTCCCAAGTTTTTAGTTGAGTAGAGAAAGTGCATATTCTACGGGAAGCCCGTCTTTAAACAACAGGATTGTTATTGAACCGGAATTCGTATATTCTGTTTTAGTGATAAGAAGTAGTAATAAGCTCTAAAGTGTGTGAAAGAATCATTATAAGTGCTGAAAGGTCTTGATGGCAATTTCTTCTCAATACTTTCGTTCGAGTAATTTATATCAGATTTCTACCATACTAGTATAATTTGTTCAATTCCAACAACTATTATATCACTTTTATATATATTTGCTATTTTCTAGCTTGCAATCGGCTTGTACATACTATCAATTGTAGGTGGATGGTTTAATTTACTTACATTGATAATTATACGTGAGTTTTATGTTGTAATCTCAAATGATTTTCATATAAATTAATCTTTTTGATGATTATAGTTACTCAGCGAAAACATGGAACTTATAGAATTAAATAATTGTAAGGCGGTTGCATATGGGGCTTTTATTGCATCATGACCTAGCGGACTACTCTCTTTTCATGGCAGACAACTAACGTTTCGGAATAATTCTGTCATAACGTCATATCACGTGAATCGTGAAAGTTTCATTGATCTTTATGGAGTACATTAGAAACCAAAAGCGTTTACGACATAGGATTGTGACATATGCTCTAGGAAAAAGTTAACATTTTAAATCTTGAAAGGCATGGTGAAGATAGTGCCTCTTAGTGTTTAGGGCTTGGTTATTTTTACTTCATAATGGATCGAAACCTGACCCATATCCGAAGTTTTAAATTTATTGGATATTTAATAAACGTCGGACATTGTTTCATCGCATCGGATTTATTTTTATTTTGCTTTGTAAGTAGTGGCGGTTTGGTGGTTAACGCATGATTTTCAATTGTGAAGTTTCACGTTTTAGACCCTTTTTTGGTTTCGATAGCTGAATAGTATCATAGGCCCTCACACTAGCAGTGTCTCTCGAAATCAAGTATTAAAACTTGTATTAAGTAAATGAGCAACGTTAATTTTCTATTTTGTAATATACTGTTGTATACAGCATAGTGTTTTGTCCTGTTTAATCAACGGATAAAACGTCCAAGTATATATAACCAATCTTCCTTTTACTGGTTATATTTTAATCGAAGACCAACCTTTAATTAAATAAGTTAGCAGATCTAGCCTTATGAGTAGTTATTGACTATTCATACTGTATCATTCCTCACTATCAACAAAACAGGGTTGTTTCGTGTTATATCTTGTAGCCGAGTGGATTTCCCTGTTAATGTGTGACGTGATAAGACCATCAATTAGAAAACAGCGAATTATCGATCGGACCACTGATACACAAAACCCGTACGAGCAGTTTAGAGTACTTATCGGTCCTGCGTCTGCCTAGCACAGCCAGTCAAATCAAAAACACCAATCCCAGCCTCTGCGGTATAAATCATTTATTTCAAGCATACTGGGTTTTTATACAAAATAAACAGACCACATCGTACCATAAAATAGAAAATAACATTTGTACAAGATTCAGCCAAATATGGTTGTGAATAAGGGAGATATTAAATGATAGACAGGGCACAATTCAAGAATGGTAAATCGTATAACAATAATTCATAGGTCAAAATAAAACTCATAATAAGGGGTATATGAATATGAATAGCTTAGTTACTTGGCAATTATATGATAAAAAATATATGCACGGTATTGGTCCATAAATGGATACCAAGGTTACCATTCATTATCCTTATCGGGACACAACATTTCCGTTACTCCAATCATTGAGTCGTATTCTTGACCATCAAAAGTTCGGTCACACTATTGTGAATCTCATTGAAAAAATGAGGTAATTTTTTGGAATTAAAAGGTGTATTCTACTTTTCTGGACTTGCTATAATGTATCAAGTTTTCAATTCCCGAGGTATAAATAATTAGAATGAAAGACTTTATTTTTAATACTTTAGATTGTTGACATTTCGCGTACCTAAAGCATAATTCCACTTTCATGACAGACGTAAACAACATAGGATCAGCGCGGACTATTTGTTAATTACTGTACAGCAACAAGAAATTAATGAAATAAAAGCAAAGTATGAAGACTAATATTACTGTCAGTAATAGAAGACTATAAAGTGAGGAAAAACTGATAAGATTGACTAGTTCTATGTATATTATTTCTATTAAAAAAAGAACCAACTATATCTATGTCACTAATCCAAGCACTTCGTTGTGCGGTTCATCACCCTCCACAATGATATAGATTCCTATTTTTCTTTAAAACGTGAATATTCCTTAACCCATATAAAAATTCGATGTCTGATAATTTACTGTCTGTTGTCACGTACGTTAAGCAGTGATTTTTCTTACACTTTTTAGTATTTGTTTTGGGATTGACGTGTCCCAGACTTTATTTATTATACCAGGTTAGTGATATTTGTTTTTCCACCTAAAGTGTGATAATGAAAATATTATTTGTAATATTTGTTTTTATTTTTATTTGGTCCCTTCTTACTGGGGTTCATAGTCTTCAATCAATATCAGAAGTTTCTATAGTACTGTCTTCAAAGCAAATGATGTGTGTAAAAAAACTTACACAGGTATCACAAATTTTACGTTACAATTTTCACACTTTAAATTAAAACGTAGAGATTCAGAATTTTTTTTCATAACGAAATCACTAAATCAGCAGTCAATAAACTGATTACGACTGTGACTTTCATCTTGAAGCCTGTTTTGCTTTCTGAAAGGATTCTCGAAGTTGTAATTATTCCTATGTTTGAAACCAAGTTTAAGTCATTATTTTCTGAACAAAAAACTTCCAACTGAGTAACTACGAGTTATACTTACTGACATCCAATAAGCAAGTGTATTTTCTTTACTATAACTTACCAAACTGTAATTCTTTTTCTATTTCCTCACTTTTGTATTCTTGCACATGTAAAAATAATCATATTCATAACCCGTGCTCAGTCATCTATTTGTGTAGGTAGGTGTTCATCAACCCCCCCGCTCACTAGGCATGTTTTACTATAGTGAATAAAATTTTACTTGGTTAGTGAGTTGCAGTTAATATTATACCATTGCCATACTTTACTACCTAGAAACAAAAACCTCAAACATATTTTATCAAAACTAATTGGTAATCTGTACCATTCCAGTGTAAACTGTCTTTTTTGTTGCTTTGCTGTATGCGATCCGATTGAGCAATGATGTTCAGCACCTATCTTGCTCCGATTGTTTTAAAAATTAAATTTCTACCAGCAACATATCAGCTTTGTTTGACCAACTCTTAAGTCCAGACGTCTTTATTGAAATTAGTATATAATTTGAAGTTTAGTCTGTTCTGGGTGATACTACATCTGTGTAATTATTTACTGACTATAGTTTTGAAGCTTTTCTTTCACTGTGTTTTTCCAGCTTATTTAATAAATTACTAATAAAGTTGATAACTTTTTGTGAATTGATTACTCTTAGTGCTTTACATCTACCACTAATTTGCTTCTTATATTCGTCTAAATCTTGATTCTCAGTATTCCCTCATACATATCTTTTCAACTCCGTATTCTCAATGTTTATTCTGTCTTACTATCATTGCTATCCCAGTTATTCTGACTAGTTCAATATTTATTATGTTGAATTCATTATATCGTGCTGATGTGGTTGGCAAACTGGGTTAACGTACATTTGTATCGGGCTATACATGGTTTTATGACTGAATGATTACCAACTAATTCTCAACATTTGAAGAATTCGTAAATTTCTACTAGTGCATTTTGGCTTGTGTTATGAACCAGAGTGGAAATAAGGACAGCTACTTCTCAATAGGAGCAGAGCATTTTAACTACGTATCACGATTTGTTTAAATTCAATAACCACATAAACATGTATATAAGTGAGATTACAGTAGGTCCAACCGATTATTATAGGCTAACAAAATAATATTTCATCACATAACTATCGTCCTATCAGATAAATACTTATTTATTAATTATAGAAAATAACTAATCTTGTTAATTATAACAGAAATCTGTGCCAAATAAATGAACACATTCTGTTCTTGTTTAGTTAATCTACTAGGTCTAGTTTGTAATTGCGCAAATCCATCGAATTACGACAATAAACTTAAGGGTTTTTATTGATTTTATATATATATATATATATATATATATATATATATATATATATATATATATATATATATATATATATAAAGTGCATTTATCTAGGATGCACTTTTCTTAAACAGTCATTTTATTTTGTACGTCAATTTCTTTTTAAGTATGACCATTGGGCTAATTATTAACAAGTTATAAATGGATCTGACTATTCCTTATATTTCTTCCTTATATATCTTCCATTTTTCGAACGAAATATAAAATACTTCAAAGTATTTATAAACTCTTGACTCATTTAATACCTTCATTGTTAGCTTCAGTTTTGCACTTTTCATCTATGAGTACGTTAAAATGTTTAGGAATATAATCATGTTATCTATATTTTCAAACCTTTTCGAATGCGTTTGTTGTGCTTCAACGACAACAGATGTATAAATGAATTCCTGGTTCTATAGGGACTATAAGCCACGTCTTACGTAGAGGGGAAAACTGGTAACCATGTACATAATTTTTTGCATAAACCAGTAAATTTATCAAATTGTAATAAGGTTTTCATTTGTAATCGACTGATTGAGGATCAAATACACTGTGCTTTTGCCAATCACAATCAGTCAAAACTCTTGTTTAAAATTCTCTCGAGTAAATCCAATCTAATAAGAATAAAATAATATGAAATTTGTGAATTTAATAGTAGTACACTTAGAACATAATTTGACTACTGGGAAACAATATTCAACATGATAAAAGTTCAATGTTTATTGCTAATTAAAGGTGAATAATTTTAGTATAGTACGGAAACAATTGTCTTTGTAAAAACCGAAAATAAAAATCTACCCACTATAATTAATAGATCTAATGGATGCTTGACTACTAGCTCATCGAGCTATAATCTTGTCTAGAGTGGATAGAACAAGTTAAATAAAATGTTTCACTAAATGACTACGATCTTGCCTTAATAATTACAAACAGAATAAATTAATAATCATCGAAATACTTGATTAGTTCTACTGGTATTTTAAAGCACAGCTCTTTAAAGTGTTAGTGTTATCACAATAAATGTTTTACTAAACACAGCCATAACTGGGTTTTTTTAAATCTTATTGTTCTCTGGTATCTGTTCTTTAGAATAACCTTATAGTTTTTTAATCTATTTATGATGAAAAAAATTACCCATCGCGTTGTTAATGATGTGTCTAATTGTTTACATGAAATTAAATTTTCGACTAAGTAATGTTAAAATTAATTATTCTTTTCACCAATTCCTAGTCATCACTATTTCCATCTTATATTGTTAATCAAAGTAACAGTGCAATTGAAAAAGCGCCGTTTTTTAGTTCGCAAAGTCATTGTTCACCAATCCTAACCCTATGTGTAACTGTAGATTTGTGAACGTGGGCATCAGTTCTAGTGGCTTATTCACAACATGTCTTTACTTGAGTTTTTTGTATGTGTTATCTGTACTATTACATTTTCATCTATTACAATATTATTGTCTTGCCGACTTTCTCTGTTACTAAATTTGACAGCTTAGAATAACACATCTGAAGTAAATGCCATAATTTATACTGAATTCGTAGTATTTTGGAATTTATCATCCCAAAACTCTTGATATATGTAGTTCTCATTACGTAATTGTGGAGATTGTTGAGTTTGAATTGATATGATGAATGTTAGACCACTATTAAAAACCCGAAAGCATTGGAAGGCCGTTTCGTTATAGTACGGGTCTCCTCAACAGGGCGCATCCACGATCCCGCGCGTGGAACTCGAATCAAGGACCTTCGACTCACTGGTGTAGAAATTAAGCGTCCCACATGTGGGCTCGTGGATGTGCCCTTGTGAGGACCCCCAGACTAGGATGTCCAACGCTTCCAGGTTTTCAGTGGTGGTCTAACATTCATCCCCTCATGATATTAATATATACATCTACGAAGTCGTTTTGATCTTTTCCGAATCACTTATAAAGCTTGCATATATAAATAGCAATTTTTAGCCTAAAACGCTTTAATTCAATGTATGTTTTTGAAATTTATCTTGCTCAAGGTAAAAGTTTTTCTAAAATAAAATATCTCGTGAAATATTTGCTATGCAAAGTCCTTATTCAATTGACCAGTTTTTAATCATAATTTTATCATTGTTGTTGACTGGCTAAGACCCGCAGTTCTTTTCTTCACTGATTGTATCGATTCATTGCTATTTTGTACATAATTTTTTTTTCATATTTACAATTGCTTTCTCTTTCGTTTAATAAAGTACATGAATTTGTTTGTCTGTTTGTTTGTTCATGTTAAATATTTATTTCATTTGGTCTTTACTTTAAAAGGCTCTTAATAACTCACAAATATAACTTTAGAATCATAGTTTCAAAATTCTTGATACAAATAACTAATGTGTATGATAAACTTGTATTATCTCTCTCTAAATTCCTGGCGATATATGTGCTCAAACTACTTTGTTTTACAGTTTAACTCATTGTTTTTTTTCTGTATTTAACCAGTTTAAACTTTATTCATTAAAGATGTTTTCTAAAGCATACATTATTAGTTTACACTGATCTAATGACTACAAAAGGTCATTTGAAATTGTTTGAACACCGTTTTCAAACAGTGGATTATATTAGCTTACAGAATTTTACAGAGAGTACAAATACCAACAAATTTGAATTTGAAACAAAATACGTCCCATCATTTATTGTTCGTATATACACTTATTCTATTTAGTCATACACGTTATACATATAAGTTTTCAATCAGTTATCTACAACGTAGGATCGAACACATACATCGCTCCAAGTTACCATACCTCATTAGCACAACACTACATAACTTAAAATCAGAAACGACTGTAGTTTATTCTTTGAACTTACTTCACTCACAGACTATTTACTTTATACAAATATTTTCAAACCTTGTATTTATTAGCTATTTATACATGCAAAATTATCATACTTGAATAAAGATAATTTGGCCAAAAATTCTTTTTCAACGATATCGCTTAACCTAGAGGTCAAAGAATAATAGGAAGATGAAAATAATTTACAGGCCAGAAAGACGAGAGATAAATATCCACTTGACAGATATGGGAAAATGAAATGTGTAAAAATGGTAATGCCAAGTCAGGCCCTGTTTTGTGTTTATCCATACTAACTTATTTGTATAATAATTTGAAAGTACTGGATATATTATATATGTTGTGTTCTTTATTTTTTTTCTGTTCAGCCTCAATGTGATGAAGCATTCAAAATGGTCAGAACGAAAGTGAAAGACATACTTAAAATGTATGTGTATAAACTTAATTCTACTCGAAGTTCTCTTAAATTTTATATCCTTAGTTTTTCTACTTAATATAAAGACGAGAGCATTGGAATGACAAAAGAAAACCTAGTCCACGACACGATTTTAATCAGTGCTCTTATCGTATCACAAATCATTTTGACTTTGTTTTTTTCTTTGTGTAATATTGCTTTATCACTTGATTTTGTATTTGAAACTCAGGCGGAGGGATAACATCAATGACCTTCAAAAAACAAACCACATAAATGCTACTTTAACGATATCGTTTGGAACATACATTGTTAACTTTTCAAAACTTGATTAGTTGTAATCGTAGAGTTGAACACTTACTGAATGTAAAGATAGATCCCAATTAAATATATGTCTATGAAGTTGAACCTTCTCAACTCACTGACTAAGTTATTACTTAAAAGGTAAAAACTATATTAAAAACAAAATCTACTGCAAAATTAACTGTGAATGTTTGTGGAATTTCGTAAACTTTTTGATAAGAATTATAAAAACACTCATTCAATGTATTTTCATGCTATTGATGCACTGAAAGAGCTTTACGGTTTAGCAATCGGATTGTCTCTTCTAAGTTCATAATTTCTTAAGCAAGATCGAACTAGTGACAAGTACTTATTCGTCTAATCTTTAATAGTGTACTTGGATAACAAATTCAAACATGATTTAAAATAGATTTATCATACGTCTAATTATAAATTGTTCTACTTAAATTTTCAGTGTTGAAACTAAAATTGAAAAGCTTCGCGGTTCACCAAAAAAGTAGGATTTCTTCATCCTGTTCACAGTGATCTATTCAGTCTGGTGATATTCACTCAAACGGCATATTTGTCTTCAGTGATTTTTAATGTGTGCATATTCTTATAGAAATTACTCCTCTTTTAAAATCGTCATATATGTAACAATACTATAATTGTGCTTTTGTCATTTATTCCGTAATTAATTAGTCTTCACATTTTAAATTAGGATGTACTTCCTACCTCCTGCCTCTTCGTTTTCGTTTTGCATGTCTTAATGTTACTTTTTTTAATTTTGTTCGTGAATCGAAATAAATTGGTTGATTCCGTCTTAAAGTGCTATTTATCTCTCAACTTTAGGTTAACAGTTACTATTCTCTCTACAGTAACTAAAGAATTTAGATTCGCAGTATAATTCATCTGTTCCAAGACCATAGCACAATTTTCCATTCTTATAGTCAGGTTCGATAGCTGTTCCTCATCACTACGATAAAAATTTACAGTATTAAATAAGTCTTCTAAAGTTTCTCGGGCGATTACATGCAACTGTCCAAAAAAATGTTTTAGAATATCCCTGACCTTATTTGAGTCTGAATCATGACACTTAAGGACATCAAAATGCAATTGCTTTGTAAAAGGGGATCCATCATTTAGTTAGGCTCCATTAACACCAACGAGCCTTGAGCTTGACTTCCTTTGTCGAGTGTTCGGCATCAAAGGCGAAGCGACAAAATATCTTCAGAAACGATAATTGAAATCCACGAAACGTTAGTCAAACAACTTTGGTCAATCGATATTTGTTTAGAACTGTAGAATCCAAACTAAGGTTTGGACTGGAGAATAACTGTCTAGTTAGTTTAGATACGCGCTGACCCAGTTGAAACCAAAACGAGGTGATTGCTTAAATAACGGTTCTAATATTCATCATAAATATAAATGTACATCATTACCTAAACAAATACCACTCAGTTATTCCACCAATAATTGTTCAGTTAATCAAATCTAAATTATAACAAAGAAAGTTGATAAAGGATGTAAGAAAATTACCAATAGCAACAAATAAATGTTAATCCATCTTTTTTGGACAGATCAGATTCGTTCGAAAGGGAATATTTAGTTGCTTTGTAACGCGGAGTATTTCCAATCCTGAAAGAGTGCTTCAATTCACAATAAAAAAAGCACAATTCCAATCAAAGGAGGAACAAATCAATATGGCTGCCGCCAAAACAACATAAATGCAGTTCAGGAAGAAGCTTAGTGAATGAGAAAGAAAAATAAATATATGAAATCAGAAAGACTAACAAAATGTACAACTGAAGGGATCAATAAGAACAAGTTGCAAATGTATACACAGATGGATTTTCACTCATAAAACCTTCAAAATGCATCTTACGATCAATATATAATCATCTCGACCTTTGAGGTATCCTATATGACCACAATAGTTTGTTGTGGTCTCCAAATGTTTAGTTTTATTCTTCAGTCATGGAGATTTTATTTATTAATTCATTCCAACAAGGCGTCAATTCCCACCTTTACCAAACGTTATGATGATGAACACACTGTTATTTTAAATCGGAAAGACAATCTCACTAAGAATCAATTTCGAAGATTTCATTGCTGATAGATTTACTACCAAAACCTAGCTTTTATTTAACGTTTCCCTTAAAATCCAATCATTTCAGCGGTTTAATTGGGGGGGGGGAATCGCGTTTAAATAAACGTAAAGATAAACAAAACTTAATTCAAGTTACCTTCCAGGTAGCTCGACTTCCCCTCATATTTCCGAAATGCCTGCAATTAAGTCCCTTAAAGTTTTCAATTTTCAGATTCTCATACCTAAATGCTAGGTAAGCTATCAGCGAGCACAATTATGCCTTGCTAGAAACCCTTTAGCCTTATTGTGAGAAATATACAGATTAACGTCCTATTTGTTCCTGTTCTTTTCTTACTCCGTTCGGTTTACGGTATAATTGTCGTTGGCAGTGAGGAAACGTTTCGACGGTAAAGAATTTATGCTGATAGGTAGGGTTATTGAGGATCCCCTCAACTAGGTATAACTACGATTCTTCTTGGCATGGGTGTTTCCAGTTGGTCGTAATGTGTCACATTTTTCATGCTATTATAATCAGCTCCAACTTTACTTTTCGTAAGAATCTATTTTACCACAACTGTGTGTCTGCAGGCCAGAATAGTTTGGATGAAAAAGACTTAGATTGAGTCTGTCGAAAATTTAGCCTCATTGGTTCATGTCAAAGAATTCGGAAATCTCATAAAGATTGATAAGTCTTATTTCTGTCGCCCATTAATGCATCTTTATTTTTCGCCATGATCACAAACGATAGTCGGAAACACGGTTTCGCAAGAACCTTGGAGGGTAGATTTTTGGTAATCCCATATCCCTAGAGAAGTGTTTACTGCTTCGGACATTCTAAATTCGCTACATGGGGATGAACATTAGCACTCAACCGGGTACTACATTGATAATCGTTGTAAATGTCCTAGTTAGAGTCTTCCTGCTTTTTAGGGTGGTGGACTTGTGGTGAGTAGTGTAATGTCGTGTACTATGTTATACGTACAAAGCTTCTTCTAGTTTCTGGACAAGCCAATTTACCTATCCATCATGAGTCATGTTTGACCTTGCTAATCATTCGCTTATTAACTGTGACTATTTTTTATATGAGCGCATGTGTGTGTACACTTTTTGTTCTATTCGTCACATGTCTGCATTTTATTTGACTATAAATATTGATAAAAGCTAGATACCCACCATCTCCAATGCATGTCGTTTTTAGCTTCGCTCGCCGGTATTTACTTCTGGCCTGCGTTATTTGACAATAAACTGTAGCTGCCTCTGATTTTTTGCACCGTTAAGATATGTATTATAACGATTATCGAAGCACGGCACTACAGACTTCAGAAGCATTGATTCCGTTTTGCTTTTAACTGGCAGTAGGTCCTATAACATAACTTATTTCATGTTCTTCGTTAAAATAGCTGAATTAGATGACCTAAACAAAAGACTTAGTTTTAGCTGTCAGTTCGACTGGAAAGTGACTTCGCTTCTGTGTAATATTGTTATTCATTAAGAAGTGAGATGAGAGAAAGAATAACATACTGAAGATACCTAGATGTGAAACTCCTTTGACACCTAGCCTATATGCCATATACCTTGGGCTACATAGTCTAGATAAGAGCTGCGGTTTCCTCCGTACACCGTTTTAAATATAGTGTCAAGGTATATGAAGAGTTGACTGTGATCGCCGAAACCGTGAGCAAATTTTGAACACGAACTGAGGTTCACAGCTTTGAAGCAACTAATTCCAAGTCATACTGGATGTCAAAGCAGCACTTACAGTCATTTCTAAGATGTTACTGCCTTAACAATAAGCGGATTTAACTGGGTCATTAGACGTAAAGAAGGATAAAGTAGTAGGAGCAGATGGTGGACAAGCTTGAGCGGCGAAATTAGATGGAGAGTAAGGTAAAAAGATGCTCCAACTTTGCTTTTAAAAAAGATCTCGGAGGATGAACAGGTTCCAGAAAGTTGATAATTTTCACAACCAAAAATATCTTGAGCTCTAAGCAATTTTTACCCAGCTCGAAAGTTCAGAACATTATCACAAACGTCAATTCTGTTCTACCGTACTATGCCAAAACTTGAAGGACTATAGTGACCATTATCGCCAAACTACTCGTAAACAGATATCCATGAAGGAAACTTCAGATCAATTGCCTGTATTTCATCATAAGATATCTATTTGGACGAAATTAGAATTCAGTCAATGTGAGTGAAACGTATTTTACGGAATGCATTATTCTGTATCGCAAGTCAAGACCTAACTTGGAATCTTCAAGATTAGAGGTGAAGAGGAAAACGAAAATACACATTGCCCCTAAAATCGCAGAGATATCTAAAAATGAATGAACTTAGCCAAAAATAGGGTAAAAGCGCCTAGTGCAGAATGCGATAGAAATCCCGAGTCGGTGGCCTATGCCACATGAATGATAACAAGCTTGGATAATCATTTATTAGTTTGTAGTTTAATCATTTCTTCTACAATTTCAAAGTAATTTCTTTGATATTTTGAAGTTCTTTTGTGGTTTAAGTAGAAAACTTTCCTCTCACACAAGTGCCTGTTTGGTATCGCAAAATGACTTGATTATTTTAAATTTTACAGACTGATAGTAAACGTTTAGTCTTCATATATGTGTAACAAAAAAAATAAATCCTAATAATATGTAGTTCTGTAAGTCTTCAAAATTGATTCTGACCTCCTTAATTTTATAGGACACACTCTAACTAAAGGCGTTCGGTCACGCATCCGAACTAGATCGTTGGCGGGCACACCATGCTACTCATCCGTTGCAACTACTAACCAATTAGATGAAGCGCTTCTCAGCGTATCGATAGCTTCACAAATATACCTTAGAAAAACTCCTTCAATTCTGACTTCTGATTTGACTGGGTTGGTATCTTTCGATTTTATAGATGTGAGACAATGGCCCATTTTTCCCGGTGTTTCTGGAAACACTTTTCCACTTCTGGTCGGAGTGATAATTCTTAGGCTTTCTCTGGGTCTCCAGGTACTTGGTTGGCGAATATTCTTAGACTAGTAAAAAGCCCTTCATGGTAAGCAACATTTTAGAATTACTAAGTTTGATCATGTCAATCACTATTCCACGTTACCGTGCCACCGGACGACTATGTCATGAAATCTCCCTGTAAGATCCGAAAAATTCTCACAACAGTTCATGAGTGATTTGTTGTTTTTAGACCCAATGGTAGTCACGTGAGTAACAAAATTTTTAAAGCCTATCTTTAAATATTCATCCACAAATGTAGTACCTGAGCACGCTAATGTACATTAGAAATTGCATGTTGCATCTTTTCGTAACTCTAAGAATATAGAAAATAGCTCACGTCTGATTTTTCGAGCACACTCTTTCCAACTATTTCTATTATGACCATTATTACCATTTACGTTCCTTGTTAAATACTGATTTCAGAACAAGCACGTGAATGATATCGGATTTATTTAATAATACACAAGTTTCGATAAGGTTAGCATTATACTTGCCATATTTGAAAAAGAGAAAAAAAAGAAAGAATAAAGTATTAATAATAAAATAATAATAAATCAGGTTCTGTGTAATGGAGAATATTGAAATATTTTAAAGAAGGAAAGAAAAAAACTAAAGAAATAGAAATAAAGGAGACGCGAGATACGTAAATAGTTCAATAAGCGTGTTTATGAACACAGAACAAGAATAAACGACTATGTATGTATCGCCAAATGAGAAATAAAATAAGATAAATTGATAAGTAAATA